TTGTACAGAAGAGTTGGCTAGAACAGAAACCATAGTTCCTAATCATCAAAGAAACCACATTCTAATTTTTCTTATCCTACAAGCTCTCCATGTACAATTCATGACTTTGTCACCTTAATTCCTTTGTTTTAGGAGATAATTTTCCAAAGTCAGATAATTACAGGTATAGCACTTTAAGGCTGATTATTTCATTACATAATTAGGGAGACGAGAAGTGTTTAACACAACCTCCTTAAGTTATTAATGTTTATTTCCTCTTGTCTTCTGGTCAACATATATATATATTTTTTCCTTTGGGTACTGGGGATTGAACCCAGAGGTACTTTACCACTGAGTTACATACCCAACCCTTTTTTTTTTGGGGGGGGGGGGCGGGACAGGGTCTCACTAAATTGCTCGAAGTCTTGCTAAGTTGTGGAGGCTGGCCTCGAGCTTGCTATCCTCTTGCCTCAGCTTCCTGAGTTGCTAGGATTACAGATACATGCCACCATACCTGGCTCCAGTCAACACCTTTGTGAAGACATGGATGTTTGGACTCTTAGTCTACTGCCTATAAAGCTTTCTAAATCCAAGAAGGCTTTTGAGGCAGTGACATTTCCAATCTGAAATTAATTGTTGGTCTAAATTTGGACCCATTAGAGAAATGCCAATGACCACTGGGTTTTAATTTTTTGTTTCTGAACCACTAGTAAGTATTTTACAGTCACATTTAATAAATCCTCTTATTATTCTTCTTTTAAAATAATTCTTGAAATGTTTGAGCCTATTGCAGGGGATGGGAAAAAAGTAGAAGTAAAATTAAGAGTGGTGCTGAATGATTATTGAGTGATGTGGTCTGACAATATTTGCTAACTCCATGTCAACATAGCCAGATGGTTTAGTTTTTTTGTTTGTTTGTTTCAGTAACATCATCTGGTAACATGTTGCTAAAGAAATGGGCTAACTGGTATGACTTTTAGACCTCAACTTTAAAAATAAGGAAAGCTTTCAACAGGAAAAAAAAAAAAAGGCCTGTAACATTGGCACAAATTCATTGCCTATGGTGGCAAGATATATCATGGCAATAGTGCATGACATAGGAAACTGCTCACCTCATGGTGGTCAGGAAGTGAAACAGGAAAAGGTTGGGGTCCCAATATTCTCTTTTCCCCAATCACCTAACTTCCTTCTAGTAGGCCCTACTTCCTAAAGATTCAGCCACCTTCCAATAGTGTCACCTCAGGGACAAAGTCTTCAATGCCTGGCCTTAAGGGGACATTTAAAATCCAAACCATAACATTTTGAAAAATTACAGGTACTCTAAGCAGCAACTGAATAAGTTCCTGGAGGGAATAGATTGCACCTAAAATAGCACTCGCTACTTAATAGCTGCTCACAAACAACTTCACTCAAGTGACTTAAAAAGCCGATCTGTTTCTCTTAAATGCTGACTTTTGCTTATTGAAGTGCCATAGACAACTAAAAATAAAGGGAAGAACTCTTTGCAGACCAGGTGCCATTACCTGGCACCCAGGTAATGAATAAATGTTAGCTGAACCGAACTAGGCATTTTGAAATGTGCTATTGCTATTCATATTCGACAAAATGGTTTAAATACAAACTGTTTAGAATGGCAAAAGGGAAAGGGGCATGTGGCTAGTTAAGGAAATTAAAAAGAAATAGAGAATAAATGGAATATTAAAACTTTGAAATTAAAAATAAAGAACCTTGTTATATATGCTTGAAATCTTCTTTCCTGGCTTAGCAGGGAAGGGAGAGGGATGAGCTTTTAGGATCAAACAAGACTATTCTTTAATCATATCATCTCTTATTTTTGTGGCATGTGTTTGCTATAGGGAAACTGATATGAACAAGCTGCTTAACATGCTCAGGTAATTTTTTAAAGGCTGAATTTACCTCATATCATTCTTTTAAAACTTCTCAGCATGCATTCAAACATAGCTCACAAATAAAACAGATTTTCTATCACTTAAGACAACAAAATGGTTACTGTGTAACAAGTTAGGCTTGTATTCCTGGCAACAGATCTAGTAAAGCATTAAACTCACCTCAAGTTCAACGAAATATTGTTTGGCCTACCAATAACTTCGAACCAATGAACTTAAAGGACTAATGCATAATGCAGGTTTCCCCATAATTTCCAAGGATTTCATGAATAAACTGGTTTTTCAGTAATATGGCATGATCCAAATGAAAGGCAAGCAAAGAATTACCATCCAAAAAGCAGTGAGATCTACTGATAAGCAATAGCTCAAATGGGCCTACATTCAGCCCTTAGAACAGAATTATGAAGCAGAAGCCACTTGTGCTCAATTACTAGAGAGGATATCAATTCAGTCTTTCCAGTACAGCATTCTCACCCAGTCTAGACACATGTAAACTGCTGCCTACACTATCTAGCTGTGGAACTGATTCTGTCAGACTAGTTGGCCTTTCCTTTAAAAGGAGCATAGAAGGTAATCAGACCCTCTTGAGACTAGGAAAAGCAGCAAAACAGACATATAGTACATGTGTCTGCAATGATAAGCTCTCAAGAAGATGTTCAATAGGCATATGACCTATGTAAGAACATGGCCAGTAGACTAACTTTAAGTTGAGGATTAAAGCAACACACACACAACTTTAAAAGTGGGCTGTATTCATCCATATTGCATTTAAAGTTTTAAAAAAATGCCTTCTATTCAGTGTGTCCCAAAAGTCTCAGTGCAATTTTAAGATATTAGAGATGGGGATGAGTGTGGAAAGCTGACCCCTCTCTCAACCCCTAAAAGAAGGGTAGCTACAAGTGGTCTTGAGAAATTATCTAAAATGTGCAGCCCAAAATAAAAGAGACATTTTAAGGGGCTAGCCAACCTTCACGAAATTAAGTTAGGGGCCTCTGTTGAATAACCAAAAAGAAACTCTAATACAGAATCATAGTAATAGTGCTTGGAATGTGTTCAACGGGAAAAGTTTGGGCTGGAAATACTTGTTTAAGAAAAAAAACTACATCACCCCACCCTCCTTTACCAAGTAATCCAAGCCATCTTAAACTTTTATCATCTGACCACGCAAGATGTATTTCATTAAAAACTCTTTCAGTTTGAACTACATCATCTCCATGAGAATAAATTTTATTCAATGAACAAGTAGAAGGGATTCTTGAATCCTACTATAGTTCTTTGGTGTGAACTTATAGTTTTCTGTAAAAAGTTCAGAAAAGGATATCAGATAAAGTAAAAGGCTTTATTATTCAGGATCAGCTCAAAGTCTGACACTGACACAGGCAGGGATAATTATTATCTCATTACATTTGATCTTTGGCACCCATTTGAAGTACTAGTTTTCCAAGTGGGACATGTTACACCCAAAGGCTCTTGGCAGTTTCTGACAGCCACGTTTACCCCAATTTCACTCCATAGTGCTGCCAGAAGATGTGCAGAGACACAAACAAAATCATCTACTTTACTGATCCTTTTTCAAGGATTTCCCTCCATTCTCCCCACTGGTTTTCAAAGCAAGAGTTAGCACTGGCAGGCATACTTTCCTAACACTCAAAAATTAAACACCAAATATAAGCAGATTTCTTAAATACTCAGAGTTAAGGCTATGGTGTGCTTGGTTTTGACTTTCCTTTACTCTGACTTCTCTTTATTTTTTTCCATAGAGAATCTATATTTAACCTATGTGGTCCTGGTGGTTACAAGCTTACTTTACAATTGCAAAACAATCAAAGAGTATGCATTAAGAATAGTTTTTAAAACCATTACAAAAGTAGGAATAAAGTCTACACAGTCCTCTTAGATACTAATAAAATGAATTTCTTGTAACTGGAAGGAGAATCCTTTCCAAGTACAGACTAAATTCATAAAACTTCTTTCCATGAGGGTAAAAAGTGGCAATATGTAAAATGATGGTTCATTTAAAAATAAACAACGCACAATTGTTTTAAGGGAAGAAATGTTAAGGATATTTTGCATATTATTTAGAGTTAGTTAATTCATTCTCTGTATTAAATATCCAGAGGAAGTTCCATGTTTTTTTGAATCAGGGCAAGACTAAAAGGTTGTTGCTTTTATGAACATGAAGAGAAAGATTTCATTCTTCAGGTTCTTGATTTTTGGTTCAGAGCTATCATATTTTATAGAAATACCAATAAGAAATTGTTACCTTTTCTTCAATTTTTAAAAAGATGCAGCCCCTAATGCTGAGGAATAAACCTAAATTAAAGCCCTAGCTTTATTGTATGATTACTGATTTTATAAAACATCTTCTATTTAAATGGTTAGAATCACAAACTATAGAAAGTGATGTTGGGTGATAACATACATAGCTTGGTAAAAATAAGGGAAACTTAAATCTCATATGGTAGATATATTTGGGAGAAAAAAGATGAACCCAGTTTCCTATTGTTTTTCTCCTAGTTTCTCCAAAGAGTTGACATTATCGCTGCATTTACATAAAGACTTTTAAAAACACTTAATCACTATAAATGCATTTATCTGAATATCACATTTTTGCACATATTTAAAGAAAACCACAAAAGCACAGTGAAAAGATTATATATTTCAAACAAAAGTATAGTTTTTTGAGGCAGGACAGATCCAGAGATATTCCATAGAGTCCTTTAGCAGTTGGCCTTCACAGACAGGCCTTCTGCTGTGACTGCCAGGCACTTTCTACTATGCAAGGAAGTTTCAGGATGACAAGAGACATGTCCTGTTTTGTGCCTCTATGAGTTTGGATGTTATTATTGTTGAGAAGATGCATAATTTAAAAAAGTAAAGACTATTCATTCAAAATGCTACAAAAATGACAAATTTACTTTATGAAATTTAAACACACCACTTACTCTGAGGAAGCTGCATATACACTAGGTAGTATACCAGATTAGGTACATTGTTCAGAGTTGAAAGATTTTTCTCAAAAAAATGAAAGGATGGCAGCTTTCTTAAAGACCAGAATTATGAAGTCACTGTCTTTGCACCTTGTTTTAGTGGAATCAAGTTCAGTTAACTCACTCAGATTAGAATTTACAATTCTGTTGAGTGTTCAGGACTACAGAAGTCATCTTGGGACTTTCTATGGAAGTAGGTACAGATTTTCCTCATGGAGTTGGGAGTAATGGTAACCTAGAAGAAGAAAATTTAGATTTCAGAGACTTCCTAGGATAAAATCCAAAGTTACCTAGCACATTAGCACTAACTGTACATTAATTTAAGATGCCTAGAAGTTTGACTATTTTAATAAGCCAGCTTTTTAATCCCAACTACTTTTGATGGCAATGTCTTTTTGGTTGATTTATAATGAAATAGTAAAATTTTAATAAATAATATGCAAGAAAAGCATAGATTTTTTTCATGTGAACAGAAAATATTTACCAGTTAAATCTCCTAAAAGGAATTGAAGTGGTTACAATTATTAACCTCTTTGAAATAAATGTAGCCTATAAACCAGACTATTCTATATTATCATTGTATAAAGAGAAAAAAAATATTGTATTATTTTTTGTGGTGCTGGGGATTGAACCCAGGACATTGTACATGCTAAGCACGTGCTCTACCACTGAGCTAAATCCCTGTCCCAAATTCTTAAAAAAAAAAAAAACAAAACTTCAAAAAATTAATAAATGCAGGGCTGGGGATGTGGCTCAAGCGGTAGCATGCTCGCCTGGCATGCGTGCGGCCCGGGTTCGATCCTCAGCACCATATACAAACAAAGATGTTGTGTCCGCGGAAAACTAAAATAAATAAATAAATATTTTTTTAAAAAAAATTCTCTCTCTCTCTTGTTAAAGTATACATATTAAAAGCTGTCAAATATTTCCGATTTGTTTTTTCTTAAATTATGGAATATGTTTCATGATAATGTGTACAGGATATGAATACTTACTACCTAGCTTACACCCTTTAAAAGGGCAGATGTTGCTGATCTTGATTCCTGGATTGGATTTCAATCATCCTATCACCTACTTCTAACACAGAAGAGATCATAAAGCACAGTGGAAACTTCCTTAACCCACATCCCCTTAACCTGCAAATTCACAGGCATTTTCTATTCCTTCTGACTGGTGCTTTTAGCTCACCTAATTTTCACAGCTTCTTCTGCGTCTACCATTTTAAGTCTATATGCTTTTCAAGGTTCTGCCAACAGTATCTGTTACTGACATTATCTATTTTAAATATTATGTCAAACAATGAAATTTGAGTCCTAAAATGGTAAGTAAAATTATGCTGCATTACTGAATATTTAAAAGAGTAGATATAGGCGGTAAGAACAATGGTGTGGTCAAGATAACTAGAAAAAATTGGGGAGAAGTCATAAAAATCTAGGATTTGGTACTTTACTTGCTTTGTAAGAATCTAAACTTCACCTTAAATAACCATAAAATGTAATTACAAACTGAAAATCTACTTATGGATGTTGGCAACTTTCCCAAGAATATCAGCTATATTGACTTTAAAAAAAAAAAAAAAGGACAGCATATCTATCTAATAGGAAAGGAGAGATACTTCTGAATTGATATTTGATATCCTGGAGCACAAGGAAGGGTTTAGCAAATCTGGCAACAAGACTGAGAGTATAAACCTTGACAGGAGGGATTTTAATGGAAGTAAACAGGATTGCCAGATACAATGACAGTATACCCAGTTATATTTCAATTTCAGATACATAATTTTTGGGTAAAAAATCTGTAATATAAATAAGTTCCATGCAAAATTTGTACTGTATTTTTATGTGCTAAATTCGGCAACTCTAAGGATAAATTTGCTTTCTTTTCTTTTAAGCATTTTGACTCCAGATCTGTATCTGGCCCCTCTTCAAGTTAAGAAATATAACTTCTACATCACTTCTTACTTACCGGGCCTGGTGATGTCTTTCCACTCTGTCTCCTGGAATTGGGTGTCTGGGATGATGGACTTCGTGGAGATGAATTCTCAGCCTTGCGTTTGGCTGCCATGGCCAACAACCAGTTTTTATTCTCTGGGGAGCTATTTTCTTTGCCTACCACTTCAGACCCTTCTCCACAAGGTCTCAAAGGAAGAGGCAGTGTTCCACAGTTTTCTGTAGTATAAGGACTGACAGGAGAAGGAGGTTCTGAGATACTTGTACCAGCTCCTTCAACTTTGCTTGATTTGGTAGAACTTACAGAGTCCTTACTAAGGTCTTCCTGGTTACCAGTAAGGCAGCACAGATCCAAATGAAGATTTTCAACTTGGCCATCAAGCTCAGTCACACAATTGCAACTCTTCACACACTTTTGTTTCACACTCTCCAGACAGCTTGAGTCTAGCCGCCTCTTCACTCTATTTCTAGACTCAGAACAAGCATCTCCTTGGGATGACTTCTGGCTCACAGGAATGAGAGCTTTTCTTGGAGACATGATCTTTGTTTCAGAAGCAGGTGGAGTGATGGGTGGTGATGAAGAAGGTGTTCGGGTCACCCAGTTTCTAATTGACATCTTAAAAGATGAGAGTGGTTTGGGAGAGACAGAATTGACAGAGCCTCTTCTGCTGATGGGAGACCGGGTCTTGGCAGGAGGAGTTTTAATAGAGAATGTGGGAGTATTTGAAGGAAGAGGAAGGTCTCCAGCACAGCTTGGAGCACACGCTGCAGATGATGGGGAGGAAATAGACGGACTGCTCTTTACTCTGGGGACTTTGGCAGGAGTACTCTGGCTACTCGTTACTGTTACTGAAAAACGAAGAGAAGAACATGAAAATCAGAAAGCTAAATATTCTCACCAAGAAAAATTGCAGCTCATTTAATCATCCAAGGGTTGATTTGCTAGTAAGTTATATATGTCATTTGATTCCTACTACATATGCCCTTTTAGCATTTTCCTTTCCTGTCCTGCCAGCTTCCCAATTAGCCTATTGTAAAACATACACTTTTAAAAACCTACAGAAAAATACAGGGGCTGGGGTTGTGGCTCAGCGATAGAGCACTCGTCTAGCACATGCCAGGCACTGGGTTCAAACCTCAGCACCACATAAAACTAAATAAATGAATGTCCAACTACAACTAAAAAAAAAATACATATATATTTTTTTTTTTTTTAAAAAGCACAGAAAAATACAAAGAAAAATTTCAAAGCACCCAAGCATTTTTATATTTGTGTATGTGATATATATTATACACCTGATAACCTTAACAAGTAAGTGATGGAATTTCTTCTGGTAGAGATAAAAACTACCTTCATTCAACAGATAAGGAAAGATGTCAGTTACAAATGATCTGCCCAGGTCACATAGTAAGTAATCATGCCAGGTTTTAAACCTGTGCATTTCTGTTGAAGAGCCCCTGTGCAGTGCCTCTTGCCTGCATCAATAAATAAAGAGTATATACAAGAATGCCAATGGTAGCTTCACATATGAAACTGAAATTTCATTAATAACCCCCCAGCTTAGTTTACAAATGATTATTTTCCATAAGTCAAAGAATGCCAAAGAACATTCAGACTCTCAATCCTTGCTATCTGTTAAACAAAATCAAACTTAGTGAACAGGTCTCTTCTCTATTTGTCCTTGTCCCTTTGTTTACACACAACTTTAAGTATTTTGGACACATTCTTATCATAATGATTCTTCCCTCAGACTTTACTTTACAACAGATGACACTCTATTTTCTGTTTCTTTCTTTAGTCTTCTAGATTTCTGAAACAATGTTTCTGTCTTCAAATAACAAGAAATGACATCTATTCATTTTTTAGTCACAAAGTCTTTGAATTGTAACTCAGACATTTAATTGAGCTTAATTACTAAACTGCATTTATATGCAACTCCTTTTAGGATGGGCTGATATAAAAATGCAGTCCCTTAGCAAGAATATAAAGATTTGCAAGTACTGTCTTTAGTAAGTTTATTAGCCTGTCCTTTATAGCCTATGTTTTTCACTACTTGAGCAGTCTTGCCTTGGGACAGAGAAATTCTACAAATTGAAGATTGTCTAAATTTTTTTCATCGATCACACATTTAGAACTGGCCAAAGTGATCCTGCTTCTTCATTGAAGATCACTATTGGAAAACCTCATTTTGTCAAATGTGCTACAAAAGGACTTCTTAACAGTGACCCATCCATGGAGCCCTATTTCAGTCCTCACATTCCTGTTCCAAAGCTTGATTACCATTATATTTCAGTAGAAAAGGAAGTTTTCACTTGCTGCATTCCTCAGGGCAGGTCAATAGCCACTGCACTGCTGCCACAGTCAATTGTTCCCTTTAAATGGATCGAAGGGTATTTAGGACAAAAAGTCCTAAAATAGTGCAGGTCTTACTTACAATAGATCATTTCTAAGGCAGGAGTAGGGCAGAAGGAAGAGACACAGGGACAAATCAGTTACCTAAGTTTCTTATACTTGCACGACACACATTGGAAGTGTTTACTAATGGCTAGCAGATATCTGATGTGTTGGTAAGTTGGGTCATTTTCTCATTTTTCAGAATATTATGACCCTGAGTGGGGGGAATCAAAGAAAAGATTTTGTTAACTTTGAAGGTCAGAAAAATTGGGGGTTAAATTTAAATATATATATATATATATTTTTAGAATGTATTTTTTTTTTTAGTTGTTGATGGACCTTTATTTTATTCATATATTTATATGCCGTGCTGAGGATTGAACCCACTGCCTCACACATGCTAGGCAACTGATCCACCTCTAAGCCACAATGCCAGCCCCTAGAATGTATTTTTCTTTATTTGTTCTTTTTAGTTATACATGACAATAGAATGTATTTTGACATATCATCTGTACATGGAGTATAATTTCCCATTTTTGTGGTTGTACTGATGTGGAGTTATGCTGATCATGTACTCATATATGAACTCTTAAAGAGTAAGTAGATGATAGAAGATTGAAAATTTAAACAGTATAAATGGGGAAAGTGAAAAAAGCAAATTTTTAGTTCTTTTTTCAACCTTTTCATTTCACTCTTATATTCTTGGTGGTTCACAATTTTCTATGTGCTTGTTATTGGTGCATACAAAACTATACCTTAAAAACCTAATCAACTTAATGAATTAAACTATATAGTACATGTTTTGCAACTTGCACTTATATCTTTATATCTCTTCACACAAGTATACATAGATGTGCTGCATTCTAACAAGTGTAGTATGTCACTATATTGGCCTATATATTTAAAAATGACACGCCATTTAGTTTTTCACCTACTTAAATGGATCAATCCCTTATAAACCTTGTATGAGATCTGAAGACATAAAGTATAGACTGGCAAGGCACACATTGGGAGTGTTTACTAATGGCCAGCAGATATCTAGCCTAAAGGCTTCCTGAAAGCCAGTTCCTTTGAGGAATTGTAAAGAGCTTGCTAATTATCAATTTGCAGCTTCCTTCTATAAAATTAGCCATCTGACCACAGCCTACTTTTCCAAACTTATACTATACTACTTTAGGGCCCTATTACAAGACACTACTTGCTGCTTCCTGAACAAGCTGTGTACTGTGGCATCTGTCTTTGCTCATGTGGTTTTCCTGGCCCCTTCTTGTCAGGCAAAAATTCTCCTGTTTAAAGGCTCTGATGATAATGTTAACTCCATTGTGAAGTGTTCACAAACTTCTTTCTACTCTTCAGAGGAAGTGAGTTCTCAGAACCCTCCTTTAGAACAGTTAGAAGAAATGTTTACAATGTACTATAGTTTTTACATCTGCCTCCTAGATTGTGAACTAAGAGGGGGAGGTAATGATGATTTACTCATCTCTAGGCCCAGTGCTCCTATATTTACTAACAAGGAACTGTTAAACAATGTCAAATTTCATTACTGCTGAGAAGGATAATGGTGAGAGCCTAGGCATTAGAAAACTGTCTCTTAATTATCTTGCTGACTTAATTCCAGCAAGCACTTAAGATAGAACAGGTAAGGTTTACTTTTCTTTAACATTAGGATAAACATCTTTGTCATTCAATAATTCCTACTCCAGAGGTTTTCAATCCTGGCTACAAGACAACAGACTTGAAGCTTTATAAAAATGCAGGTACTTAGCCTCCACCCCAGTCCCAATGAATCAAATAATTGGGGACATATAAACTTTAGAATCCTCAGAAATGGTTCTGATGTCCAGTAAAGATTGAGACCACTGGCTTCAATAGTGCTATGGTATCTACAACTGAACCACACTGAAAGAAGAGGAAGTGACAGAGCAGGTACTGTCTGGGAAAAATAGGGCAGAGGGAAGACAGGCTGTGCGTTGGCACTTAAAGTCTTCCAGTTAGTGTGTTAAAATGGCCAGAAGAGAAGATAATACAGCCCAGGACAGCAATGAAGGACTAGAGTGTTAATTACTAGCTTGGAAAGCAGAGGAACATAATTTTCAAAACAATGTGGTTAGCAGCAGCCAATCTGTTGCCAGAAGCTGCCTAGAGGGTCAAATGGCCAGTGTGCCAGCCTTTGGCACCCATGTCAGGTCTATAGTGTTCTTCAGTGTAACCATTACCCCAAAATGGAGAAATCTAGGCATAACTCCTGGTTTAGTCTCAACTTGAACTTTGCTTTGCTCTGCTAGGTCATAAAGGAGGCAGTAGTGCAGAGTACTTCTGAGCAGCTGCTTTAGAATCAGCAAAGGTTGGTTCTACTACAACTTCACAGCTGTGTGATCTGAGGAAAGTCTAAGTTGATCTTCAGTTTCAATTATTTTGGGAATTAAATAATATAATCCAAGCAAGTCCTTAGAACAACTATGTGAAGACTCAATAATGGCTAAATATTTTTGTTATTATGGTCTAAATTTGGTTGTGCAACATTTTTGGTGACTTGGTTTCTAAAACTAAGAATAATTAATGATAAACTAAAAATATCTAGTTTTTTCATCATAAATTTTAAAAGTGATAACAGCTGTTAACATAAGAATTCCACTGCTGGTGAACTATTTTAATAGGAAAAGGGGACCCTAAATTCAGGGAGAAAAAAAAAAAAAAAAAAAACTTTTAACAAAATATTGAAAAAAAATATGTACTTCATGTATCATCTTTTTGAAACTACTTAAAATATCCCACATTTATTTAGTGGAATACTTTAAGTAGTGTTGCAAAAAGATAATACATGAAATGCATAAAAAACATCAAGTTCAGTGGAAAAAGTCTCAAATCAAAATGTAGATACAGTAAAACTATGGTTCTGCAAAACAAGGGGAAAATATCAAGAAATATTTGGAAATGTACTTAAAATTACGTGTTGAGTGATGGGAAGGGATACTAATGGCATTTTTCCTCATATAATTTTTCTCTTTCAGACTGTCCAAAATTAGAGAAGTATAGATAATGACAGGTGGCAGAAAGATACTCCAAGTTCATTGTTGAGAAGAATTAACATTGCTAAGATGGCCCTACTCTGAAAACTGAGCTATAGAATCAATGTAATCCCTATCAAAATTTAGCTGGATATTTTGCAGAAACTGACAAGCTGATCCTAAAATTTGTATTGAAAAAACCCCACAATAGTCAACGCAATTCTGAAAAAGAAAATTAAAAGGACTTCTAGATCTCAAGCCTAGTACTAAGCTATAGTAATCAAGTCAATGCAATATGAGGATAAACATATAGATTAATGAAACCGAATTCAGAGCTCAAAAATAAACCCACAGGGCTGGGGTTGTGGCTCAGTGATAGAGCGCTCGCCAAACACATTCAAGACCCTGGGTTCGATCCTCAACACCACATAAAAATAAATAAGTGAAATAAAGGTATTGTGTCTAACTACAACTACAAAATAAATGTTTTTTTTTTTAAAATAAACCCACATATTCATGGTCAATTGATTTTTGACAAGGGTTTCAAGACAATCCAATAAGGTAAAAAATAATCTTGGGCCCGGTAACATACGCCTATAATCTCAGCAGCTAGGAGGCTGAGACAGGAGGATGGGATCGAGAGTTCAAAGCCAGCCTCAGCAAAAGTGAGGCACTAAGCAACTCAGTGAGATCCCATCTCTAAATAAAATACAAAATAGGGATGGGGATGTGGCTCAGTGGTTAAGGGCCCCTGAATTCAATCCCCAATACACCCCCCCCAAAAAAAAAACAAAGAATAATCTCTTGATGCTAAAAAGTTGGATATCCACATACAAAAAAATTGAATCTGGATTCCTACCTCACCTCATACACAAAAATAAACTCAAAGTGAATCAGACCTAAAACTAAAAAAAAATTAGAAAGTTTTGTATACATCAAAGGACACCATCAAGAAAGTAAAGACTGGGGCTGGTGTTATGGCTCAGTGGTAGAGCACTGCCTAGCACGTGTGAGGCACTGGGTTTAATTCTCAGCACAGCATATATATAAATAAAATAAAGGTCCATTGACAACTAAAAAAATAAATAAAAATAAAAATAAAAGATGTAAAGACAACCTAAAGAATAAGATAATATATGAAAATCACTATACAATGTGGGATTCCATCTAGAATATATAAAGAATGCTTACAGGTCAGCATTAGAGAGACAAATGACCCAATTAAAATATGGGCAAAAGACTTACAGAGGAATCTCATCAAAGAAAATATGCTAATAAACACGTGAAAAAATGTTCAAGATCACTGGCCATCATAAAATGCAAATAAAAACCAAAACAGGATATCAACTCATACCACTAGGATGAATATAATAAAGAAGATAAATAGTAACAAGTATTGGCAAGGATACAGAAAAACTGAACCCTCATTTTGGGTGTTGAAAATATTCTAGAATTAGATTGTGTCGATGACTTCACAATTCTGAATATACTAAAAACAACTGAATTTTATCTTGCTAATCACAAGTATGACTCTACATTAGGAGAATGAGAGTGTACAGGTTTGATAGTGGTGGGCCAAAGTAAATAAAGTCATAAAGCAAATAAACTAACATATAAGACTGAAAACTGCAAAAAACACATAGAATTACACATTTGTTAGAGGTATAGACAAACATATATATTAAAGAATCAGTTAAAAGATATTAAAGTTGTTGCCTCTGGGAATAGGAAATTATAGATTTGGGAATCTGGGGACTGCCTGCTGTTTTTCTTATTCATGTAGGTAGAATTAGTTTTCTTATTAAACTGTAATACCAAAATAAAAATTTAAGAAAACAAAAACTTTTTTTTTGGTACCAGGGATTCAACCCAGGGGCACTTAAAACCACTGAGCCACATCCCCAGCCCTTTTTTTTGAGAGATAGGGTCTCATTGAGTTTGCTTAGGACCTCGCTAAGTTGCTGAGTCTGGCTTTGAAATCGTAATCCTCTGCCTCAGCCTCCAGGGTGGCTGGGATTATTATTATTTTTATTTTATTTTTTTTTTTGTAGCTGTACACAATAACATTTATTTATTTATTTATTATTCTTATGTGGTGCTGAGGATCAAACCCAGGGCCTTGCATGTGCGAGGTGAGTGCTCTACCGCTGAGCCATAACTCCAGCCCCAATAGCGATTTTTAAAGACATTACAGAAAGTAGATGGAGAACAAAAGACTCCTCTGAAGTCTAGTTCTGCATCCTGTAGGTGACTAAATAAATCATTAGAAAAATAAACCTATATTTTCCCTGTCTCACATTCAACTCTTCAATAACCTTAGGCCTTGATGTCTCTTTTATTACTGTACATTTATTGAAACATGAAGATCCCTGTTACATAGGGTGGCTCAGTGCTTGAAAATTTTTGCTCTTTGTTCATTGTTATTTTCATCAACATATTCCCTGACAATTTTTGGTGTCAGCAAAATCCACATACATGAACTGCTTAATATCTTGGTTTCTCAATTTCTTGACATCCTTCTACAATTATCTTGTTCTTTTACTCACCTACCATCTATTTCTTGATTTTAAATCCACCATTATCTTAATTTTGATCATCCCACTCCCTTTTGTATTCCAATTCCAATAATCTTTCATTCTTGGGGTCTCTTAATCCATTGATAGAACCACTTTTATACTGTCCCTTTTCTCCACTATATCTTCAATTGCCTCCTTTGCCGGGTTAAATCATATAGTAAATCATCATAATCATCCTTTCTTGTCACTCTCAACTTCTTTGCTTACTTCCTAATACTTGCTTTGCTCAACCAACTCCCTAGTTAACGCCAACTCTTAGTATACCTTTACCTACACAGCAAATATAATCATGTTGAATGCTTGCTTTCAATTAATGACTGAGTCTCAAGTTGACTCTTAGCACTTAATAATCATAGTTCTCTGGTCCATTTACTCTTCTAATCTCTGACTATTCCAGATTTATGTTCTCAAATTTCTACCACCTAATCCTTCATCTTTATTCTTAGGTGATAACTCTCTTACTTCACTGAGAAAGTCATCAGAACAAAAGAAAACTTTTATAAGTCTGACTATCCCATCTTTCCACCTTTTTTCACTATGCTTGCATATTTTTTTCTCTCCATTCACTATGGATCAACTAACCCTCCATGCTCTTGGCACAAGCCTATATCTTATACTTGTGTATTAGCACCTCCTTCATGCTTACTGAAAGACTGTTTCAGAAAACTTCCCTGCATTAATTTCCCCCCCCCCCTCTCTGGGATCTTTCCAGTTACATCAACTGCTATATTACTATTAAAACAAATCAAATCAACAAATTTTAAAACTACTTCTTCCTCTGGCTACTTCTTTTGTTTCCTTCCTCAGTAGCAAAACTCCTTAATAGAGCTGTATAAACTTGTAGACTCCACGGTCTTTTCTCCAATCATCCTGAACAACCTAAATCAGGCCCACCAATATACCACCAAAACTCCTTTCATTAAGGCTACCAAATAACTCCCACAATGCTAAATCCAAAGGTTAGTTTTTAGGTCTCATCTACTTTGGTGTTCCAGAATCATCTGAGCAGATTCATCTGACTCCTTTATTTATTTGGCTTCTAGGGTATAACACTCTTCTGTTTTTTCTTCTTCTTGGGTTGTGTCAGCTCAGTAGCCTTTAGTGGTAATTGTCACATCACTACCCTCTAAACACTGGGGTGCTCCAAAGTTTAGACCCTAGCTTATCCTCTCTTTTTTCTATTTGTAGCTACCTTTACCTATATTATAATGAATCCCAAATCTATAACTCTAACCTTGAATTACAGAATTAAACATTGAACTGTCTCTGGACATCTCCATTTAGATGTCTAATAATCATATCAAACAATACTATCTAAATGGAACTTGAGCTTCTCTCCCCAAAGTGCTCCTCCTGCAAGGATTCCTATCTAGGTTAAAGAAACTCCATCTTTTCAGCTTCTCAAGCAAAAACTCTGAAATCATCCTTGAAAATTCCCCTTACATCTCATATCTGATCCCTCAGCATAGTCTATTGGCCCTATCGTATAAGTAAATCAGCATTTGAAGTCTTATTATATTTTTCTGCTATAACTATGGTCCAAGACACCATCATCATTTCCTGAATTATTTTTAGCTTTTAAAATTAGCTTTCTGCTTTTACCAATCTCCTCAGTATTAGTTTATTCTCAATACAGGAGCAAGAATGATCAAGTTAAAAGTCAGATAATGATACTCCTCTGCTCAAAACCCTCTTAGTGGTTTTTTTTGTCTGTTATAATAAAAGCTAAATTCCAAAAGAACTTTTACTACTACTATTCTCTTCCCCCTTCTTTGCCCACTCCAGTCATAGGAGCTACAGCCAAATTAGCCTCTTTGAAGAAGAGAAAATATGTCAAACCTGTTCTTGCTTTAAGAACTATTTTGTCTGCCTGGAATATCTTTCTCCAAAGTATCCAGATGGCTCACTTTCTTTACTGAAATGTCATTCATTTGTTCATACTCCCTAACCACCTGATAGAAGATTCCAACAGCACACTTGGTCATTCTTCCTTTCCTGTTTTCCTTAGCACTTTCTGCTACTCGACATAGTACATATTTTACTTCTTTCTTAATTTATTGCCTCTCATACTAATATGGAAGAGCTCTGTTTATACTTTTATTCTTTTGTTTGTTGTTGAGCTCTTCAGCAACTGAAAACAGTGACCAGTACATAATAGGTATTCAATAAAAATTTGTTGATTAAGTCCCCATTGTATTCCAGGGCCTTGTGTAGATATAAACAGAGTAGTGCTTAGACAGTATTTCTTGAGAACAAAAAACAAAAACAAAAACAAAAAAGAAGGTAGTCCTTTTCTTTACAAACATATCAAAACAAGATCATAACTTACCATAATATGTTATAGGACTAAACAAATGAGATCATAAAAAACTTAGAAAATGCATAATATCCTTACCTAGGCCAGCTCTTGCCTCTTTCTTCTTCTGAGAGGCCCAACCCACTATAGAATGTTTATCTACTCCTGGTTTCTCCTCTAAGCCTCTGTTCAAGCGCCAGATTTTTAGTGTATTGTCATCAGAGCACGTAGCAATCTGAGAACCAGGAAGGGAATAATGAAGTTTCAATCAAAGATTCACAAGAAAGTAAAAAACAGATGTGCCTTAAAGGTTCATGATTGGAGAATTATTTTGTCTGTTATATAATAGGATATAGAAAATGATACCCAAAAGATCATATATTTCCATTCCTTGCTTAAGAAATCATTTCCAAAGAAGCTAACTCTCTAGTTTCTTCTTTATATAATTTCTGTTGATATGACATTATTAATAATTTCTTACCTAACCTAAAACTCTACTATAAAAGACTAATTTAAATTTGGTCTCAAGAAGCTGGGCAAGTCATTACCACCTTCTATCTTACTAAGAAATATGTAATTTTAAGATACCCCTTTCACTTCCTTTCTATTAAATGATCAATCAATGCATGTCACCAACATTCAATTTTTGCTATTTTCTTCTAAATTCTGTTATGTTTTGCCTTATTGGTTAAAGTAATATGATCATTTCCAAGATCATACTTAGCTTCATAACTCTAGTGGGCCATGACAAGTACAATGAAACTACTCCTTTGAGATCCTTTTTCAGATAGGTAAAGGAGCAATCTGGGAAAACAACAAGTTCACTAGGCTGAAATAAGTTAAAAATAACCTTTGCCCCTTTAAAAATATCTGACCATTCCTGATCTTGGTCCCAAGCCTTTTATGGCAGAGAAAGTCCAGCTTGAAGAGCTTGTGGCAAATGGCCACTGGTACCAGAGCTGTTCCCCAGCATTTGTTTATATAATTTCTCTATTTCAGTCACTAAAGAGAGAAAAAAAAGAACACACGTTCTCTTAAGTCCTGGCCCCCAAGAGACTGGCAACTTTTTCCTCTCCTTTCTGGGAGGCCAAAAGAAGACACACATATTTAACTGCTCAACAAGAAATGCTTAGAATCCCAGGATCACTCTATAGTAACAACAATAGTTATTTACAAAGTACCTATCTCTGTCTGGAAATTTACATTCTTTATCTTATTTAAGCCTTGAACTCAAGTAATCTCATCGACAAAATGCGAATAGTTATTTGCTCAAAATATCACAGTTAAATGGCAGAGTTAGCATTTAAACCCAGTATTCTCATATCTCTAGAAAAACTTTAAAAAAGCAAAAACAAAAAACAACAACAAAAAATATATTTTACTTCCCTAATTCTAGTCTGATGACACAATTATTTTTAAAATTTTTAAAAAGATGGTCGTGGGATTAGTACCCGTAATCAGCCTTACTATTTCCTTTTGAGTCTTTTCTCATAGGAAATAAGGATAATATGTGATGGTTAAAAAAAGATGACATAATTAACTGAATAATTAAAAAAGAATTCATCTAAATGAGTTCCATGAAGTGTAATACCCCATACTAAAAGGGATATTTTACTGGAAATTCAGAGGGGGGGAAAAAGTCATTGGGATATAATTATGGATGATTAAAGTAATGAGTAAAACAACAACAACAAAAATCTGTCTGGCAGAAGCTGATCACAGAAATGGTAACTGGGATAGAAAAATGAAAAGAAATCCACAGCAGTATTGAAAAGCTATCAGGGATGCCATGAATAGACCAGACCATGGGAAGTTTCTGGATGATAAAACAAAAACAAAAACAGAAGGGAACAATAGGCAACAAAGCCTCAAAATGTCATACATAAAAGGGGAGACCTCTACAGAAGTGAGATTTCCTGTAAAATAGAGACTAGCCCAAAGATCAGAGGCAATTGGGGTTGAAAGAATGAGTAGAATTTGGGCTATGGTTATATAAAATCATCTCTGTATAAAAAAACTTGTTTTTATTTCTGGCCTTTTTACAGTTTAGTTTATTTGATTTGTTTTTAAGTTTCACACAATATATTCATTATAAAAATTAAAAGAGGGGCGTATTTTCTTTCTAAAGTGTCTAAAATATTTCAGATCTACTTTTTTCAGTTTCCACAGATAGCTAACATGTTAAGACTTCCCAGTGACCACTATATGTGAAAAACCAAGTTGGACTGTGAAGAATAGTCATGATGTTACCTCTAACTCACATTAATAACATATAAAAAGTAAAACACTAGTTCTTACCTTAGTTTTATCACTTTAGATTTTAAGATAAAATTTTAACTAAGCTTAAAAAACTTCATTTTATATTCAGAGGAGTGACTTGGAAACCAGAAATCCACCCTTATTCCTTAGTGCACAATGATTTCTCTATTGGTACAGAAAAGCAGAATATGTATGAGTAATGCTGATACAGATCTTAGATGACCTTTACATCTTTTAAGTCTCAAACAGAAGTCTGTATCACTTTCTAACAAATCCTGGGAAAGCCTACAAACCATGATTTACTTTTTGAACCAATTATAGAGATTTGTTGACAAACCTTTGTGAAGTCAGATGGACACCAGCATACAGATGTGACCTCTTGAGAATGACCCAGTAGTACAGTGGGAGGATGCCAGGGTGTGGAGACCTAGTCCAATCAACAAGAAACAAGTCAGTAGAGCAGTGTTAGATCTCCCAGATAGAGGTTTGAATTTAATTTTGTCTTAGAGAACCTTAGAATTGTTTCCAAAAGTTGGTTATAGTTCAGAAAAAGAGTTACAATGAGCAATAAGGTATTGGTCACCGATCTGAGAAAATACAATGAAAATTGTCGAAACATGTAAAGAATATATATTTACATATCAGGATGGTTCTTACTTCAAAGCAGACTATCTAGCTATATACTAAAATCCAAGACTGGCAGTTACTTATACCTTAGCTGGAAAACTTTCTGGGAGGATGAGGTTCAGTTGCTAGGCAGTGCATTTCAAGTGGAAAACTTAGTCATGTTTTTACATAGCCTGGATATTTTCAGATCTTCCCCAGTCAACTACTTTCAGGAATATTAAATTAACTGTGAACCCTGAAGGTACCTTAAATATGCTACTAGCAATCTTGGGTCAGGGGATACTTTATTCCAAAGAAAGACTAACTTTTACCAAAACCCAAATTTAAGCCCCTTCATTTTGAGTTGGAAAAGCTTCATTTTGAAGGGATAAGCTATATTTTGTGATACTTTGTAGAAAAATATTTTTCCTCCAAAATACTATTTCAGCTAATTTGCATTTTAATATATCTTAATGCATAAAGAAGGGTCCAAGCTGGGTGTTGTGGCATATATTTTAATTCCAGCTACTTGAGAGGCTGAAGCAGGAACATAGTAAGTTCAAGACCTGCCTGGGCAACCTAGCAAGTTTCTATCTCAAAGTAAAACAAAAAAGGGGCTGGGAGGATAGTTCAGTGGAAGACCACTTGCCTAGCATGCATGAGGCCCAGGGGTTCAATTTCCAGTATTGGGGATGTGGGAGAAGGCTGCACTGTACATGTGACTATGAATCATATTTTCTCATCATTGGATGTCACCAGTGACGTGCATTTTACAGCATCACAAGCTAATTCATTTGAGAGCTGTCAATACCTTTTAGAAGCCATGGAATTAACTGGCGTAATAAGTAGCACAAACTCACATAATTATCATTAGCATGTATATTTGAAAAGAGCAAGAAGGTTGGATCTAAGATAAGTTATTCTCTTTTCATTTATTTTTAAAACTCTGAATTGTGGCTTGTTTTTATAAAGAAAGTAAAGGCAACTCTAGAAGGAATTATTTGTGAGAATGACTAAATAAATTTAATAGATTCTTTGGATTATAGTTAAAGGATTTGACATTGATTTATAAGGTTATCTAACTCAATTATTAGTACTCCTTTCTTGGGTTACCTGGCACATACATACACAATAATTCAGAAAGCAAAAGAAGACAAGAATAGAGTCTAATTTAATTTGCCTTGCTGATTAAATAAATGCTACAACATCGCTGAACCTTGACAACATTATGCTAAGTTAAGGTTTAACAGAAGAGGAAACTTCCTATATCTACAAAGATTTTACTACCTACTTCTATATAGTCACAGAGACAAACAAAATGTCAATATTCCATAAGGTTACATATTTTAGAAAGGACTTTTAAATAGCCTTTAGTTACAGAAATTATCTTTCCTCTTCTGCTTGTAGGGCCCTACTCTATTAAGTTTCTCTAGTCAAAGCCCAAACAGGTCTGGCAGCAGTTAAGTTATAAGGGACAGAAAATCCTTATGTCCTTTTTAAACATCCCAGATAGGAATACATTATTCTCTCCTCCATTGATTTACCCTGCTTACTACTTCTAGCTTTTCATTTCACGATACTGTCCCTTCCTTAGTTCTGTGTCATAAAACCTAGAAGAGTCTAGGTGTTATGTATACAAAGGAGTAACATAAGTTTCAAGAAAAACCAAATACCTGCCAACAGAAGGTATGTTTTGTACAACAGGCCTTCAAAGAAAGGAAACCATTGGATAACTTTTTACAATCTGATAAGGTAATCAGCATTTGTTAATTGAATGCCATAAGCCAGACATTTTTACATAGCATTAAATGGAGGGGGCTGGGGATATGCCTCAGTGATAGAGTGCTTGCCTGGTTATGAGTGAGGCCCTGGGTTCTATCCCTAGTCCACAAAAAGTGTGGGAAGGTATCTGAAAAAGTTGAACAGAATTAAATATCACTTGAGCTGGCAGTTCTACTCTTAGGTATGCAACCCTGGAAGAAGTGAAAACATGTTCAAATGATAATTTAAACACATATGTTCATAGCAACTTTAATCATAAAGTAAAAAGTGGAAATGACTCAAATGACCATTGATAAATGAACAAAATGATTTATCTATACAATGGAATATTATTAAGCTATAAAAAAGAATTAAGTACTATAAATGCTACAACATCGCTGAACCTTGACAACATTATGCTAAGTTAAAGAAGTCAGGCACAAAATGCCCTGTGATTTCATTTATATGAAATGTCCAAAATAGGCACACATTCATAGTCAGAATGTAGCTTAAGCAGATATTGGGGAAAAGGGAGAATGGACAATGATTGTTAAAGGATATGGGGTTTCTTTCCAGTGTAAACAATGTTTGGGAATTAGATGGTAGTGAAAGTCATAAAACATTGTGATTTTAATAAACTTAATGTACACTTTACCCTATAATGGGCTGAAATGAGAATCTAGGCTCTAGTAAGTTTTTATGAATTTTAGTAATCTAAGTGCTTTGAAAGTTTAGGACTTTCCTGGGGAATAGTACTTGGTGATTATTTCAAAGAAGATTTATTTCTTCTAATGAAACTTAGGTGGCTTTTATGGTCTTCATTTTCATTCCAATTAGTTTTTATTTATTATCACTTTATTAAAAATATATTATTCTAATTATATTGTTTAATTTTTAAAAAGCTTCCCTTTCCTTTTTAAGTAGGAGCCTATTACGTCCAAGATATTCAGATCTAAGCATTTTGCAGTGGTTAAACACAAAAAATTGTCTTAAATATTCTTACATTTTACAAAATAAAGACTTAAGAAACCAGGAATTTTAAGGCATCTAGGAGTAAATGGCTCTAGACTATTTAGACCTCATAAAGCATTTTATATTCTTAAATACACCAAAAAAGATCAGCACTTTTCCTCACAAAATCTCCTTACTCTGCCCAGTCGGAAACCAAATCTAATCTTTATTTCTGCCATGAGATCATTTACACTTCCTAAAGTGTCAGGCTCAATGTTTCGCCAGTCAGCGGAAGAATGGCTGCGCCAAATCAGTTTATTTATAACTACTTCAATACTATTCAGGGGCTATATATCAGTAATAAACCAAGGAAGAGCAGGTAGGAGTAGGGGTGAAATAATGGGTAAGAAATTAAAAAAGAAAAGTAGAATGTCAAATCTTAAGTTTCAGAGGGTCTAAATATATTATACCTCCCCTTTATGGGCAGCAGTGAGGACTAAAAGGCCATTCTCTTCTGTCTTAAGATATTAAACTACTTTCTTTTACTGCTTTCTTATACCCTGGGCTTTTTAGCACAGAAAAAAATTCCAACACTTAAAAGGAATACTGATCTATTAGATATATAGCAGAAACAGAAGATAACCTGACAGTCTGGTTACTCAGAATGCATGGAACTGCTTAGAACTATTGCCCGCCCCCCTTTTTTAAATCATGGAAAAGAGAAATTGAGCCACCTCACTAGGCAAATTCAATTTTAGGAGCAGAAAGCTTGCCAGGATCTCAAATATCAGGGCCTGTACACTGAGTTATGTGTAGACAGGCAGAAGAACATCACGTCTGAACCACGTCATTCAGAGGTGACATGTGACCCAGCCTAGGAATTCAGAAAGGGTAACCTGTGTATGTGGTGGCAGCTGATTGGATGTCTGAAAATGGGTTGGAAACAACAGCCAAGTATCTTTGGTGTGTATTTGTCTTTATAGGGAGAAATTAGCCCCTCAACTCTTGTTCACTAAAATAAAAATTTAAAAACACCTTGTGCTAGAGAAGAGTGCTACAGGAACTTCAAAATTTGACAAGTATATACTTGTATACATAATATATAATTATAAGCAAAATTATGTATATTTTTGATTTAGAAACGTTATCTAAAATAATGTAAAAAGAATGACCAGCACACAGGTTCCCCCCCCACAATACTTTATTATGATTTTTGTTATACCTGAGATTACAGTTTCTTTTCAGAAAGAAACTTAAAAATCATACAGACTTGTGGTAGAAAGAAAATTTTCCAGTTATGTTGGGATTCAAAGTGAAGAAGGGACTGTAGGTAAGACAGTGGGGGAAAGAAGAGGGAAAACAAAAAGCCAACTAAGTTTAAGACCAAATTTGAAACTCAAATTTTAAGATGTTTATACTTTATAAGCAAATTTTCATTTAATAATACAAGAAATAAAGTAAAGAAATGTGCTTGTAGAAAGAGGCCCAACATGAGAGTTGGATAGAACAATAGCTCCACCTTGTGACCATTTAGGATATTGTTACCAAAACCTTTTAAGAAATTAGGGTTGCATTTTTACAACTCTAGGTATATAAAAATCACTTTTTGGTAATTTTCTCCAGGGCCTTTTCTCCACTAGGCTTCAAACAGCCAGACTTTAAATTCTTAGCTTACAATGGTCACTTTAGAATTATCGTTATTTAAAAAGTTAAAAAATAAGAATATGAATTTAATGGGTTGCATGGAAAATCGGTAAACTTGAAAAAAATTATATATGAAAAAATTGATAATCACATCTATTTTTTTTCTTTTTGTTTTTATCACATCTATTTTAATAGCCTGAAGGATGGCTATTTATAAAGAGAGAATAAAAATGTAATTATTTTTGAGTGGCTGTTTTGTATAAGGATATAAAAAATCAAAATATTGTATTTTGTAGAAGAGCTCAAAAACAAGGAGAAGTCAATATAGCATGTTTTCTAGGAAGCAAGATAAAATCAAGGTTTTTACTACCTTTCTGAATTCTCACTTTCTTGATAATCTATGAAATAAGACATGGATTGTCAGTTTCTGATAAGCTATGACTATAAATAACAATACATAAATTTCTAATCAGGTTTCGGCTACAATAAATGCCAAGAAATAACTTTTGCTCAAATTTAGTATATTGTAGAAAAAGGGTAAATATCTGGTATAGAAAATTAATACTATGTGTTTACATTAAACTTACCTCCTATTGGAAAGAAAAAATATTCTCAAAAACAATTCAGTCTCACATTTGAGGGGGAACAATTCAATCTCACATTTGAGAGGGAAGTTGAGCAACTTACCTTCCAGATGTAGGCAGCTTCATCACTTGAGCCACTGACTAAAAACTGGTCATCTGGACTAAGACTTGATTTTACGTAAAAGGTAGAGTTCTGGTGTCCATTGAAGATAGCCACTGTCAGAAGAAATAAACAAATCATTTGGTTTTTGTTATTTCCACATAGTGTTCAAATGAATGTACATATTCTAACAAGTTTTATTCCCACATTGAGTACTGAAGCAGATGGTCAAGCTTTATTCACCAAATAACAGGGAACTGAACATTGGCAAAAAAGAAAAAGAAACCATAGGCTCTTTATTAGGTCCAACCTCATGAACTCAGCTATATTTGGCATTAACCAGCTATGCCACAGGAGGAAAATGTGATGAAAAGAATTAAGAAAAAGGGTGCAGGTATTGTTCGATCTTGTAATAAAATAAATATTGGACCCTCTCTCCTTAACCCAAGATAGGGCTTTTTCTATTGCAGTATACATTGGGTCTTACTTCTTAAGACTTCAAGACTCTTGAGGGTATATTTCATATCTTCCTTCCTTTCTAAACTTTATAGTGTTTTGAACAGAGTACATCCTCCAATATTTGTTCCATGAATAGATAAAAATCAGTGAAAAAGGGTCATTTGAACTCTGGCTAAAACTTTATTGTTGGCTTATCTAGGATGTAGGAATATTTTTAGTCCAGCACTTTAAACAGTCTTAATGGTAAAAGTAGCTAGTGGGGTAAACTGTACTCATATGTAAGACTTTAGGCTGGGTTAAGTGTACAGGTTTAGACTTCTCATTATCCATGACAAAAGAACAAGTATTTTTTCTTGTACAATTTGCTTTTGACAGGTTCTTTTAGCCTAAGGAAGACAAAACCTTAGGTGTCTGACACCTGAATATCCCCAAGAAGTACAAGAATCTCATTTATTAGAGAATTTTAGGAAGTATTTAGGCAGGAAAAAAAATCATAATTATTCATCTTCAACTCTTAAACTGTGCCTGGCAAACTGTAGACTAAATTTTCCATTAAACCCATAAGTACTTATTGCCCTCTACTGGTCTAAGAAAAGCTGATATGAAGTACAATGTAAATATTTCAATCTTGCTAATAAAGATCCTTTAAAACCTATATTGGCCTTAATTAACTCAATTTAGTCTTTCTTTGATGATTTGGGGTCCTAACATGATTTACAGTCATCCTTATGAACATCAGTTAATATATATAATACTGTAATATTAAGTTCGGTACCTTTAGTATAAAGTTTTGAAAAGGCAAATAATTACCAGTTGTTACACGTGTGTGCATGAACACATGCATGCACACACATGCACACAGAGCCATCATTCAATTTCTAAGGAACAAATCAATCTAGCTTCTATCTACCTATCTTTGAGAACAAATAAAATTATTTTAGGAGCACAGAAAAAGATCACAAAATTATTAGGAAAGTATTTGATGGCAGAGGGACAAAACGAACTCAAGGTCCTTTTATTGTCACACTATGGGAAAAATTATATAAAAGATCTCTTATATATATGATAATATAATCAGAACAATGTTTTTTCTTTAGACGAAAGATTTTTTAAAGCCTATTTTATATGACTAATTAAAAATCCCAAAAATGATGCTGCCACAGATATCATAGTCCTAACAAGACCACTTAGGGAAATCTTTTGAAACTTATCTAAGATAATAGCTAAAATGACCTAAGTTCTGCACTATTTTAAGATTTCTTGTTTATCAGCACATCTTACTTTAGTAGTTCTGTGGGTGGGTTATAAAATTCAAAGTGTTTTGACAGAACTAGACCTGAGGAAGAATCAGGCGACTAATATATAACTTGTTTGAGTAATTGATAATGTTCTTAGATATAAAATAACTAAACCTTTTTAAAGCATACTTGAAAACCTTGGTTTCTTTTTAAAATGCCATTTATTAGTTTTATGTATCAGACTTTATTTTTATATTCTTGAGGCGAAAAAGAAAGGTGAGGTTGGGAGAAAAAAATCTCAAGAGATAGAATGGCTTCTGTCAAACATTAAGTGGAAGGCTGGGGGGGGGGTGGAACTATATGGGCAATCTGAAAAATTCAGTTAATTTTTTTTCTTTTTGTGGTGTTGGGTGTTGTAGTCTAGGCCTTGAGCATGCTAGGGAAGTGCTCTACCTTTGAGTTACATCACCAGCTGCAGCCCTCTAATTTTAACTAACAAGCCCAAAAAGAGGATAAAGTTGAGCAGAACAGTTTTCTTCACCCTGTAAGATCATTAAATAAAAAATTAAGTTAATTCTAAATATAGGCCAAGGGGTCTGATTTCTGGAGACTACTACAATACAATAAGTCATAATACAGAAAAGAATTCTGCTAACATGTGAAATGACCACAAGGAAAGCACCCTATGAAAATATCACTGCAATTAATTAAAAATACTAAAGTCCTTATATGGCTTAATAAGTTTTGTTTTTTTTTTTTAAATTATCAACAAAAAAGTCCATGTTCGTTTTCTGGCAAGTGAGTTAGTATGACTTATATCTTACCCGGAGAAGTCTTTAATCCAGTCATATTGAACATGTAGACATTGTCATCTGTGCAATTAGCAAATAAAGTAGAGCCAGTTGAATCCAAAATCAGACTTGAGTATCCTGAGAAAAATAAAGTTTAGTCAGCATGTCATGATGATTGTAAACAGACCTGAAGCCAGAATGTGAACGCAAAAATAGATCATTGCAAATGATATCATCAGATAGGAATATTCGAATTTTTGCCCCCAAACATGCAAATAAAAAGTATCCTTCTGTTTTTATCTTTTAAACATCAAAAATGTATGCCCTCATATTAGTTTCTTAAGTCTATGTTGCTGAAAACTAGCCTAATACATATATTTTTTTAATTTAAATTTTCCCAAAAAAGTTTATACAAAGGCTTACCTAGTTTTCGAGTGCTGCTACCTGGGTACAAGAAAGACTTGGATGCTATGGGCTCTTGTCGATAGGCAGTATAATTTTTGCGTAAATCCCATACTTTAATTATCCTAAAAATCAAGACAAATTTATTTTATAGATCTCCCTACCCAAAGAACTTCACTAACATTGAATGTGAAATGACTTTTAATCTAACTCCTCTGGCACATTTACCAGGTATAGTGAGGACATCTCATTGGGAAACAAATTAAACTATTCATACCATTGTGTCCAAGGTCAGGCTTGCCATTCTGACAAGACGGGAAACAGATGTAATATGACCCAGCAATGGGTTACTGGAGTTTACTCCAAGGGAGCGGAAAAGGAAGATGAAAGTTGGATGCTGATAGTCACTGTTCTATTGTTTTAAGAAAAAAACACTTCCTAAGCCTCTGCATATATCCTCTGATATCATAAGTAGCAAGCTCTGTTCCTATGGTTATATCTCTATACATAACTCCTTAAGCCATGTAAGCAAACTTTCCTGTGAAACAGAGAAAAAAATATTTGTTCATTTGTCGGAATAATTGTCTTAATCCTCTACTTCTAGTTTGTAGGCAACTGTGAAAACACAGGCAGTATTCTTGGAAATACAGAGTACACTTTCCTAGCCATTCACAAATATAACTAATAACTTAAGATAATCCTTCATTCTTGCCTGAAAGTTTGGTTCATGAAAGTTTTAGTGTCCTGAAGAGACAATGGAAATCCTAGTTTAGTAACCCGTTACTTTTTGTTTTTTAAATTTGTGATTTGTACTTTTGTTTATTTTTTTATGTGGTGCTGGGCAATGAACCCAGTGCCTCATGCATGCTCTACCACTGAGCCACAATCCCAGCCCAGTAAGCTGTTACTTTTTAAAAGTATTTAAATCTTAAGTCTAGTTAAATTATACCCAGAAACACCAATTATATGTCCCAAATCAGATTTATTCTTTTAAAGATATTCTTAAAGATACCCCAAAATAATAAAAAATTTATTCTTCAAAATAAGAGCCTGTGACTAAATTTTACTGCCATAAGGCAAGCTACCCATCTAGTTTCTTCTCTATTAACAGCAGCAGCAGCTCCTATATGCTAGACAACATGCTAAGTGTGACACTTGTACTAGCTCATTTAATTATTGAGCAAGAGTTCTAGCTTATTATTTTCCTGTATAAGTTTCTTTTCTCAGCTGGGGTACTTGATACGTCAAAAGTTAAAAGCATACATGTTCAATTATAATGGGACTACATGATTTCTCCCTCATGGCTCATGGAAGACCTCATTAAAAGAATAAAGAAATAAATTCTCTTACCCATCCACAGCTCCTGCTGAGACCAATGTATTCTCATCTTGAAACAGGACTACAGTAACACTCTGCTGGAAATCCTAATAGTACCAGAAAGAAAAAGAAAAGAAGGAAATTCTATCTTAAGTATCAAAATCTTCACCATCAAGAGAACAAGGTGTTTAAAAATGGCCTTTCCCCCAAACTCTGAATGAGATTAAATCTTCTCTTTCCAATAATCCTAGATACACAGTAAATCCTAGCAAGAAAATGACCTGAACATCATTAAGTTACAGCATATACCGGTAAAACTTGAACTTGTATTCAAGAAACAAACTAGTGACAAGAAGATCTTACTTGTCTGACATTATAGAGTCTACTTAGAATCAGCCCTACTAATAAGCTATCTACCTCTAGCAAACTCATTTAACTTTCTTGTCTGTTTCATCTACAAAGTGTTGATATCTACCTAGATTATCACATAGGAGTATCTAAAGAATTTTGGATAATATTAAAGGGAGTTAGTAGAGTTTTACCTCCTTTACTGTTAGCTAATAAGGTCTCTTAGCTTAGAATTAGACTCCATGCCTGAAAGGTTACACATTATAATCTCATCTGGATTCTACAGACCACTGTCTGCTTCCATTCATCCATGTATCCCTTATGTTGTGCACTTTAACTATAAATCCGGAACATTAAAAAATCACAGTAAACTGAGATCAAAAGCAATTATTTTCAGGAAAAAAAAAATTCTGGCCTAATTTTAGCTTTTGGCTATTACAGTAGTACTTCTTCTTATACTTCTATAGTGTTTTGCAATATATATAATACTTTCCTAAATGTTTAAAAAATATACAGGCTGGGTGTGGTGGTATGCACCTGTAATCTCAGCTACTTGAGAGGTTGAGGCAGGAGGATTACAAGCTCAAGGCTAGCCTGGGAAACTTATGCAAGATGCTATCACAAAATATAAAGGCTCAGGATGTAGGTCAGGGGCAAAGCACTTGCCTAGCACATGTGAAGCCCTTGGTTCAATCTCTAGTACTGCCAAATAAATAAATAAATAAATAAATAAATAAACAAACAAGCCATCTTTTCCATAGTTTATATTATAAAAAAATGGGGATTCTCTCCCCATAGAAAACCAAATCTGTCCACTATAGTTTGAGAACCACTACTTATTCAGGAGTAAATCTCTGACATCAAAAGAAAATAGCTCCCAATTTTATCCCCAAGAAATTCCCTACAATGAAATTCCATTAAGAATTTCTGCTGTTAAGATCTACATTCATGTATACACCTATAAAACCTTACCACAGAAGGGGCAAGTCCTTTTGAATTCTGTTTCTTCTTGGGTTTTGAAGGGGTTTGCTTGTCTGAGGTATTGTGAGCTCCACTGATTTGATTCACTTGCCTATAGAACCCATCTGAAAGATATTCCAAGGAAACTGATTTGTTTTTTTTCCTGATCTCATGTTGTACATAACATTTGTACAAAAGATCTCAAAATTAAGTAATTTCTGACCAGATTAGTAAAATCAGAAACCAGTAGAACCATCTGTACCATATCTCCTGTGCTGAGATTATAATGTATAATAAAGAAGAAAAGATATATTTATGGTAGCTCTTTTTCTTTCTAGCTAGGCAAGTGCTCTTTCACTAAGTCAAATCCCCAGCCCCTCATAATGTCCAAAATTTGGAAGCAACCAAGATATCCAATAGCAGGTGAATGGATACACTGTGGTACACTAAGAAAGCAACACTAAAAAGAAACGAGTTAATAAAGACATGGAAGAAACTTTAAGGTTACATACTATATGACATACTGAAAAAAGCAATACCATGGATATTAAAAAAAAAAAAATCTATGGTTGCCAAAGCTTTGTGAGGAGATAGGAATGACAGCAGAATAGAAGATTTTTCAGAGCAGTGAAACTATTCTGTATGATAACACAAACAATTAATCTTAGTGTAAAGTATGGGTTTTCAGTTACAATGATGTTTCAGTGTAGGTTCAACAATTGTAATAAGTACACCATTCAAGTAGAAGATGTTGACAATGAGCGAGAGAAGGAGGGATATATGTGTATGTGTGAGATAATATATAGAAATTGCTTAGTTTTGCTGTGAAACTAAAATTGCTCTACAAAATAGTCCATTAAATTTTTAAAAGATCAACAAATGTATTAAAAGTAAATAGGGAGATGATTTGCGCTTTTTGCTTAATGGCATTATGGGGTAATACAAACTTCTATTTAATTTAATCTGGCTCTTTAAAACAACAAAAAAAGGAAGTTTAAATTAAAGGTAACATTCACCAGTGAGCCTATGTATTAACAATTTAAATTCTATCAGTAACTTAGGTAAATGGCCTTACAATTCAGAAGACAATCTGAGGTAAATATTTGACTACAATAGCCCCTGCAACAATCTCTAGGATCCTGACAAATAAATGGTGAGTAGAAATGGGGGCTTGTGAGCACATGTGCCCCCTGGTGGTAATCAGATGAAATCCCGAACACTTTCATTCAATATAATTCAGTATGTGATCATCTCTCCTCTGTCAAACTTAAAATGTACATTTTGGGAGCAAATTTTTGCCACACATACGTCAGATAAAGCACTAATCTCCAGGATATATAAAGAACTAAAAAAACCTTAACACCAAAAAAACAAATAACCCAATCAATAAATGGGCTAAGGAGCTGAACAGATACTTCTCAGAAGAAGATATACACTCAATCAACAAATATATGAAAAAATGTTCAACATCTCTAGTAATTAGAGAAATGCAAATCAAAACTATTCTAAGATTTCATCTCACTCTAGTCAGAATGGCAGCTATCAAGAATATAGACAACAACAAATGTTGGAGAGGATGTGGGGGAAAAGGCATACTCATACTTTGCTGGTAGGACTGCAAATTGGTGCAACAAATCTGGAAAGCAGTATGGAAATTCCTTAGAAAACCTGGAACAGAACCACCATTTGACCCAACAATCCTACTCCTTGGTCTATACCCAAAGGACTTAAAATCAGCATACTAGTAACAACTACATCAATGTTCATAGCAGCTCAATTCACAATAGCTAATCTGTGGAAGCAACCTAGATGCCCTTCAATAGATGAATGGATAAAGAAACTGTGGTATATATACACAATTAAATATTATGCCACATTAAAAGAGAATAAAGTTATGGCATCTGTAGGTAAATGGATGGAGTTGGAGAATATCATGCTAAGTAAGCCGATCCCCAAAAGCCAAAGGCAGAATGTTCTCTCTGTTAAGTGGATGCTGACTCATAACAGGAAGCGGGAAGGCATGGGAAAAATGGAGGAACTTTGGGCAAAGGGGAGGGAGAGTATGGGGGGGGGGTGCGTGGGGGCAGGAAAGATGGTGGAATAAGATGGCTATCTTTACCCTAAGTACATGTTTGACTGCACATATGGTGTGACACTACATCATGTACAACCATAGAAATGTAAAGTTGTGCTGCAATTATGTACAATGAATCAAAATGCATTTAGCTGTCATATATACCTAATTAAAATAAATTTTTAAAAAACTGAAAAAATTTAAAATGGAACTAGATTACCTTTTTTGTTGCACCTGGTGTCCCAGACCATAATGTTGCCATCTCTTCCTCCTGTGCAGAATACAGCTGTGACATAATAAACAGTATACAAGAGGTTAACAGAACCAGCCAATGATATATATTTCAATTTAAATTTTCTAGAATGTCTATTTTAGATACTGAATTTGGTATTGAAAATAAAAATTTTAAACTATACTATCAATAACAAATTGAGAAAACAGTTGTAAAAGAAAGGGATTACAGAAAGCTTACATTGAAAAAACAACTTTATAGAATAATCCCTCTGTGCAAATTTTCCCAAAATCATATAAAATACCTTATAAAATTATAGCAAAATAGACCTAGGGGCTGGGATTGTGGCTCAGTAGTAGAGTGCTTGCCTAGCACGTGTTAAGGCACTGGGTGAGATCCCCAGCACCACGTAAAAATAAACAAATTGTACAACTAAAACAATATTTAAAAAAAAAAACAAAAAACTGAGATCTGTATAAAATGTATAAAGGGGGTTGCCTCTGGAAATGGAATGAGGGCAGTGAACTGAAGAAGGGAATACTAGAGAACTTTGATTTATATGTAGTGTTTTATTCTTTAAAACTAAGTGAGAGACAGGCATGGTGGCACATGCCTGTAATGCCAAAATTTAGCAAGGTCCTGAGCAACTCAGGGAGACCCTGTCTCAAAATAAAAAAATAAAAGCGACTAGGAATGTGTTTCAGTGGTTAAGTGACCTTGGTTCAATCCCTGGCACCAGGAAAATAAAGAGGTAATATTAAGTAGGAGAAACTCTGCTTTCTGTATGAAAGAATGAGCACTTAAGAAATTGTACCTGCATTAGCTGTAAACTGGACAAAATAAAAACCAAAACAACAAAGAAAGCTACCTGAGGGGGTCTGTGGAAACAGAACAAAAACATAAAATTTCAGAGGGGAGTCAACAAATGAAGAACATGATTAGCAGGGGCAATCACTGTTTGTAATTTTACCTTGAGGGCAGCCACAGTGGCAGCATTAATACCAGACAGCTAAAATGCCAATAGAAAAACCTGCCGTGTCTCATGCTAGAAGAGAGAGGAAAAGGAGATGGGGTGCAACAAGAGTTATTAGAGAGTGAAAGGGAGAGAAAAGAAACCCTTAATTTTGTGTTTAAACTCAGTTTTAAGTTTATGGGTGACCACTGAACCATATGTGCAAGAGAAAACTGAAAGCAGTTTGCAACTGAGGTTTTATAATAAAGAACTGATCATCTCATTCACAATATCTGCACAAAGAGTCAGGAAAATGACTTATTGTAAAAAGGAAAAGAAATCAATGAAAGACAACCCAGACACTGACTTATTAGATAAGATTATAATATAGATATGTTAAGTAGAGAAATACACTCTTGTAATTAATAAAAAAAAAATGATAGATCTCAGCAGGAAAACAGGACTTATAAAAAAACAATTTTGAGAACTAAAAAAAAACAATAATTTAAACAATAAAAATTTACTGGTTAGGCTTAAGAATGAGAAAATCATTCAACTTAAGGAGAGCTTGATCAATACAAATCAGTCAATTTGAATTACAGCAAATATGACTGAACATCATGCTTAAGTGAAAGAAGCTATTATCTGAAGTGATTTACTGCACAACCCTGTGAATAAACTAAAAGTCACTGAAATATATACTTTGAGCAAATCTTATGATACCTGCTATGGTTTGAGTATGGCTTATCCCTTCCGAAATCCATGTTGAAATCTGATGACATTTTGGCAGTGTTAGGAGGTGGAGTCTTGAAGACATGTTTGGGTCATGAGAGTTATGCCTTCATGAATGGGTTAATACATTCATGGATTAGTGGGTTATCTTTAGAAGGACTGAAGGCCCTCACCAGGTGCTGAAGTCATTCTCTTAGACTTTGTAGCCTCTAGATCAGTGAGCTACATAAACCTCTATTCTTTATGAAATATCCATTCTCATGTGTTTTGTTACAGTAACAGAAAACAGACTAAACAGTATGTTAGTTTTTTTTTCAAATTTAAGAAAAGTGGGAGAAAGAAGAACAGTATCAAGGATCCATGGGACAATTCCAAAAGGCTAAATACATGAATGAGTAAATAGAGCCTCTTTGTGAAACAAATTTACAAGTCCAAAAAACTGAGGAAGCTCCAAACAGTGTTTGAAGGGAACCATGACTAGATTCATCACAGTCAAACCCTTAAACACCAAAGACAGAAATCCTGAAAGCAGCCAAGTAAAACAACACAATGTATACAAGGAAATGATTTGAGTGACCACAGAGTTCTCAATGGAAACCATAGAGAATGTGGAAAAACACCTTCAAGTAATGAAAGAAAAAAAGCTGTTAACCCAGAATTTTATGTCCAACAAAAATATCCTTCAAGAGTGAGTTTTTAAATTTGTTCTTTTTTAGATATACATGACAGAACATATTTTGACATGTTTTTACAAACATGGAGTATATCTTATTCTAACTGGTATCCCAGTTTTGTGGATGTACATTGTGGTATATTCATATATGTACATAGGAAAGCTGTGTCAGATTCATTCAACTGTCTTTCCTATTCCTATCCCCACTGCCTTGCCTCCATTCCCCTTTATCCAATCCACAGAACTTTTATTCTTCCTCTCCTCCCCTAGATTTTTCAGATATAGGAAAATAAAGGTAATTTATTACCACCAGACATGCACTAAAAGAAATTATCTGTTATCATTTCTATTTCATGCCAAATAGAAATGATAACAGAATATGAAGATAGCATTGCCAAGGGGGAAATCCTGAGTTTTAGACAGTTTGAATTTCAAGTGCTTACCGAGAGGTTAAGGCTAGAAATATAGATCTGGGTAAATTAGTAGAGTGGCAAAAAAAAAAAAAAAAAAAAAAAAAAATTGGAATTAATGAGCCAGGCACACTGGCACACACCTAGAATCCCACAAACTTGAAAAACTGAGGCAAGAGGATCATAAGTTCAAGGAAAGCCTCAGCAACTTAGCAAGACCCTGCCTCAAAATAAAAAATAAAAAGGGCTGGGGATGCGGCTCAGTGGTAAATTGCCTCTAGTTTCAATCCCCAGTAACAAAAAAAAAAAAAAAAAAAGGAATCAATGGAACTGTCCAGAAAAAAGGTATAAACTAAAAGGAAAAGAAGGCAAACACCATATCCTGAGCCATGCCAACACTTCAAGACAGGTAAAAAAAAAAGTGTAGTACACAAAAGCAAAAATGAAGGAATCAACAAAAAGGCAGGAGAACTAGAAGAGAATGCTATCTGGATTCTGAAGAAGGAAATTATTTTAAAAAATTTTAGAAAAGGGCTGAAATGTTTCATGGCTTCTGACATAATTATAAAAATGATTTCAGGAAGAGAGTTAGATGTGGAAAACCGATTGTACCAAATTAAGATGAAGAAATTTGTCTAGTTTTTGTTTACTCTTAAGAAACTTAAGGGAGATAGATAACAGCTAAAAGAGAACACAGGGTTAAGATGTTTTGGGGTATAGATCATAGACATGCTTGAGTCTTTCCTAAGGAGAAACAGACAAAAGTGGGAGAACTTGAAGATACAAAAGCCATGGGGACAAAAGTGAGAGCATAAGATCTTGTGGGAGATCAAAAATGTTTCTCAACCTTAGGTGTATACTAAAAATTCCTTAAGGAACTTTAAAAAAAATAGATACCCGCCCACCTCCCAGAGTCCTATTAAAATGATTTTTTAAAAAACCTCTGTAAGTAACATATGCAAGGTTAAAAACCAGTGGCCTAGGAGGAAGGATTGGTCTTAAACTGGAGAAAAAAGAGTGAGAAAAAAGGTACAAATAAAGCTAAGTTTGTAGAAAAGGAAACAGAAATAAGTTTAAAACTAATTTTAATTTTCTGCTAGAACTTCTAATACCCTCCCCTTTTGGTCACACAAAAAATTTACCTGTAAGTCTACTTTCCTGCCTTTTACATGGCAGAATATTTGGGGAAGGCAAATTCCATTAGTATGATTATACCTAATTAGGATTTGTATCTTACCCATAAAGGGATGAAAAAACTTTATCAATGGTCATTTCTATCATGCTACCCACTAAAAATAAGCAAACAAACAAAACAAAACCTCTACAAAAACAACAAAAAGCTAAGCATTTTTATGTATGAATTATTTTTGTGAGTTAAATAGAATTAGGCATTAATTTTACTAAGTTAGGAAATTAAGGCACAGGGAAATTAAAATAACTTTGCTGAAGAATTTTGAAATCAGATCTAGAATAAAACACAATATATGTTTACAAAAGTGTGGCCTATAGAAAGGAACATGGCTGAAAGAGTGAGTGAGGCTACAAAATATTATTTCACCAATCAAACCATGGGGCCTTGGGGGCAGTTTCCAGCTAGACTTATTCATACTAGAGCACCTATGGACTACTGGAAACATGATAAAAGCCACTTGCTCCAGTGTCTTAACTCAGTGCTTTTTCTACTAGACCATATTGGCATAGATTTATTCACATGCAGAGTTTTGAAAATTAAGTGAAAGGACTGAAAAATATAGTGTTCCCTTTTTCATTCCCCTTTATTTAGGTAAATTTTCATGATCTTAAAACATTTTTATAAACTTAAAGCGAACTCTGAACACAGGAGTGCTGTAAATTAAAACACAGGTCAATTTAACTTTATGCGATAAAGTTGTGTTAACAAACCCATGCCATATATTTCCCTTTTAGAGTTCTAGTCTAAACCAGCTCTACAACTCAGTTAATATCCCTGAGTATTCAGGTAAATAAATGAAAATATTCCTTTTTAAAACAGTGTATTTTTTAATGATAAAGGACTATGATGTTTGTCTCTATAATTCGTGAGAAAGTCAAATTAACGCAGATACTTCTTTGAGGTAAATGTTTATTGGTCTGTTTGTAAAACCTGTTAGTGAGGAACAAATTAAAAGAAAAAAAAAAAAACAACTCTAGGGGAAAAAATGTATTCAGATACCCCTGCTAAGTTTTTCCTCAGTTGCTATAGTACTGTCCTACATATATTATATCACGCTTGTGAGATAAATAGAGGATCAATTGTGTGTAAATACTAGTTGAAAACATACTAGGAAATTGGGTCATTTAAACTAGGTGCATGGTAAATTTTTAGGTAGACAAATGTCCAGTTTGTCAGAATTTTCACCCCATCTTCATACTTCATTTAAATTTTACAAGTAGAATTAATGAGCAACCAATACCAAGTTTTGACACCAATGGACAAAGTTAAGCAGAGGTTTTTTTTTGACTGTTCATAAATTGTTACCTTATCTGTAAATTGAATTTCAAGGACAAGTTGGTGATAACAACCATAAGAATGGGCCTAGAACCAGCTTACTTTCATTAAGGTTTTCAGTCATATTAGAATAAAAATTACCTATGTTGGTAAAGTAACAACTTTTATTAGGGCAAGATAGAAACCTTACAACTTCTTATTTCCCCATCACAAAGAAGGTTAAGGAGACAAAAGAATAAGTAAAATCTACCTTTCTCGAACTTGGAAAAGGCAACTGACTTGAGGCTGCATTGATGACCTTTGCATGTTCCAAGCAGCTCACCAGCTTTAACGTCCCAAAATTTGGCTGTTTGATCACCTGCTGCTGTAACCTTTCAAAAATTCACAGCACAATTTAACAAGGCAAACTTGACCAGAATTTCAAGGACAGATCCCAATAAAATCAAAGTCACTTACAAGCTTAAATTCACCAGGAACCCAGGCAAGGTCAAAGACAGCATTCCAGTGAGCCATCCATTCTAAGTAAAGAAAATGGTAAATATGAAATGTGTAGCCTGTGATCTATGGTAGCCATATCAATAGTATTTTAAATATCTTAAAAACTATAGTGAAAAGATCAATCAGTACCCAATGGACCATGGGCCAAAGAAAACTTGTGGACTCAACATTTCACATTTCCTTCATTACCACACATCAGAATTACAATCTGATGTCCAATTCCTTTCAAATGAGTTGACTAGAAATAATCTCTAAAATGGAACCTTTCTGAAACATTTTCCAGGTCAAAAATCTTCACAATGCTCACTGAAAAAGTTTAGTTTGACATTTAAGGTCTTGCATACTTTGGCCTCTATCTGTTGGAAAGTTTCTCTTACTGTTCTCCAAACCAAACTGGATCATCCACTATTTTCTTATTAGATCCTGGTCTTTCCCAACTCTAAGACTTTGCAAATGCTTTTTCTCCACCTGAAGTGCCCTCTTCCATTTCCACTGGTCTAAATATCACAGTTCAACACAAATGCCCCATCCTTCATGAAAAATTTTCCTAGCCTGCTTTTGTATTTCTATTATTCATAGTCTTTGTTTTATTTTAGTTATTTCAACACCAGACTTTCTGATTCCAGAGTATGAGCTTCTTATAGTTAGTAGAACTTTGCTTTATATATGGGAAATATTCAATATTTAAAGCATTGTTGAACCACATTAAGTGTAAAATAATTAAACTTAAAAAAAAAAAACCTGTTTTTGACTTTAAGATATATTTTTTCTGAACTTTTGTAAAGGTCTTGCCATAGTTAACTGTTATTGTGAGTGATAATCTATTGTTTACTTTTATCCTGGTCCATAAGCAGACATAATGAGAAGTGAATATAACTGGGAATATAGTCCAATAGCAATTTACTTGAACAAAGCTTTATGAATTAGTCCAATAGCAATTTACTTGAAGCTTTATGAATTAAAAATAAAGTTAAAACAAAAATTATAGACCGAGGCTTACCTTTGAAGCACTTCTTTTTACTAGTTTGTGATTCCGTGTTATATAATCTAACGAAGCCTTCCTCATTGGCAACTGCTAATATATGCTCCATGTTGGGAGCTAAAAAAGGAATAGAGTGCATAAAGATTAACACAAAAAACAAGTGTGTATAAAGGTATTAAATGCCTCAAACCATCAAAATTACCTTTAGATAGTCTCTTACTTAAGAGAAGGACTAAATCAAGAGAGGTAATAAACAAGACTAGTACTGACCAAAGTCAAATAAAGGCAATAAAATGATATACACCACCAGCAGACTGAGTCTATTAGTTTTAAATTTCCTTTTCACAACCTTTCACCTCTACTCTTACACTGAGAGTAGGAACAAGTACTCCTATTCCTTTCATATATTCTCTAGTGAATCACAGAAAGATACATATTCAGCTGATTAAAGAGGCATCTACTGGGTAAAACTGCTTTCATGGTTGCTGAACCTTTGCAATTCTTAAAAGTCCTATGCTTTAGAAGAAATATATAATTATGCTAATTACATATAAGAGATTTATCATAAATAATTTATGTAATTATGCTAATTATCCATTTTTTCATAAACCAGAAGAGGATAGTTATTGGAAAATCATAACATCTACCTAACTTACTTTTCTTTGAAGGGGAACCATTACAATGTATTTTCCCTCTAGGCAGGAAATATATTATTTCTGTCCAAGCTTAGCCTAGACAGTAATTCTCTTACCAGAAGAGAAGGTGCATCCAAAAGGAGGAACTGGGACCCCTGTTTCTCCATAAGAAGTGTGTTCATCATGACAGCTGCACTGATAACCAGTTAGAAGGGACTGTAAAGGGTAGTGTGAAGACCAGCCTAAAACAAGAAAATTCCTTATAGAACTTCAATAACATCACATTTTACACTTTTAACAAATGCAGAGGTAAATGTTATTCTTAAAGAGCCTTATAAATTTAACATATCTTCATTCACTACGTTTGGTCCCCTAGAATACTTAGTTTTAAGATCCTCAGAAGTCAAAGTGCACTCCCAATTTCTGGTGAGGTATAGCTTTGGGCTTATCATCTTTAATGGTACATTAAGATTAGAAGGAACAACTGCCCTTTGTACATTAAAAAGTTTTTGTACCCTTTCCCAACAGAGACAACCATAAAAGCATTACCATTAAAACCGCTAATTCCCTTCCACAAAAATTTTACTGTTTTTGAAGCCTCCAAATCAACATTACTATAAACTCTCAAGTTACCTAGCAACCAACACGTTGTATCTATATATCTACAGATACATGTGAGTTCAAAAAGTTAAATGAAATAATGTGTTGGTGTGCCTATTATAGTCAGTAACATATTCACTTACTAAGTAATTTTACTTCCTTTTTCCTTATAGTGCTTGAAATTCTAGGATTCTAAAATATTTACAGCAATAAGTCATAATATCTTCAAGAATATAACAGCAATTTTAAAGGAAAGCATTATGTATCTACCCTTAGAAGATATTCAATTATCCCTGGCTAGTAGTAGGATTAGAAAAGCCTTTAGAGAAGATCTTGAAAGATGAGTAAATCCTAAATAGTAATAAGCTATCTTGTTTATTTTATAATATTAACATGTATGTCAATATGTGTTTTTAAATACATACAGGTTGAGTATCCCTTTTTTAAAATGCTTGGGACCAAGAATGTTTCAGATTTCAGAGATTTTTCAGATTTGGGGATATTTGAATAGATTTTGCCAGTTGAGCTCCCCTTATCTGAAAATCAGAAACCTGACACTACTTGAGCATCATATTTCTATGCAAAAACTTTCAAATGTTAGTGCATTTCAGAGTTCAGATTTTTGGATTAAGGATGCTCAACTGTGAAAGAAACATTCATCCAATAAATAATTAATGAAAATGAATTGTTAATTAAGCATCTGAAGAAACAATGAGTTCACAATTTCTTGAGAGCTGTCTGATTAATTAACAAGTTCACATTTTAGGCTACTTTCAATTCTTACTTTTCATCAAAAGTACTGTTTTAGAAGATATTTTAGCCTGACAGAACTCAGACAAATCTAGATTTTCACAGCGATGTCTGAAACAATTAGTAGAAAGGAGGCAAAGAAATTTAATCCAGATTTAACAATTATTCCTAGGGACATTTCCTTAATATTTCAACCTGTAAACAGGTTGTTAAAGACTACTAAAAGAAGAATACAATAATCATGTATGTTGAGCTCATAAATATCCGACAGAATAAATTTAAAAACAAAAGCCTCTGTTCTCAGAATATATAAATCTATACGTGATGTAGGACTTAAAAATTGTCTAATAAATGCAATACAAAAATTCAAAAGGGAATCTTGAACAATTAGATAGAACTGAAGATAATACATTTGGAAAATTTTACTTTTTACAAGCATTCATTGACTCCTTAATTTTGACTCATTGCCTTCAACTAATATCCAAATAGATGAATAGTCTAAAGTGACTTGGGACGGGGCTGGGGTGGGGAGGAGTTCCCATCTACTCCTTTTCTTTAATTCCCTTCAACACACACTTCATTGTTTTTTTTGAGCTACCTTAAATTACTTCTGGATCTTTATTGTGCTATGAATAAGAACCTGCAATGCCCCACAACACTCATTTGGAAAACCCTATTATTTCCTCAAAGTACAAATTAGGGCCTTGAGATTACATGCAGATTTCCCAAAGAGTATACAAGGACACGAGAATAATAACTATTTATCAAAATTTGTTATTTACATCGCTTCTATCAATTGCATGCTATCAACTATGATGACAATGCAGTCCAAGAGAAATTTTTAGCAGTTGGAATCCCATGAACACAGAAAACAGCAATTTAAATACATTTTTTGACACATAAGGAGATCAGTAAAAACTTTTCAAGCATACAATTAAATATTATATCAGGATAAATTCTGTGGGAGAAATAAAATTAAAATAAACTCAAGAGGAAACAGTAACTTTGCAGAATGCCTAAAGTTTGTTCATATTTTTTTTAAAATAGATATGATTGTCAAATCACTTTAGTATTTAATTCTATTATACAATTAAAACAGTGATATAGCATTTTTACTTTAAGATGTCAATGTTCATATTCTAGCCAGAAATTATATTCTTTATAAGTGTTTAAACTGATAACAGAAACTTTCAGATACCAATTTTAAAATATCCAGTAGTCATATTTCCATTTTATAAAGATCACTAGTAGTAATGTAAAGAATAAACGAAGAGAAGAAAACTAAGAGGTTTTAGGAGACTTGCTTTATAGTTCAGACAAGGTTACTAGGGTTCAGTCAGGAAATGAAATTGTAGAGCAGACCCAGTATATGATAAAGAGGCAGGAACAGTGGGAATGAAGAGAATATGTTGTAATCAAGATATTTTGAAGGAAAATTTTCAATATGTAATAGTGAGGGAGATGGGGGTCTTTAAGTGACTCTCAGGTTTCTGGCTAGGAATACTGGTTTAAAATAATGGGGCCACTCCACAAAACAAAAAATATGGTAGGTTTAGGGAAAAAGTGATCATTTTGGGGGTATTTGAATTTGAGATGTGATCATTTTGGGGGTATTTGAATTTGAGATATCTGCGAGACTGACCAACTTGGTGAAGATGAATCTACATAATTCTTATAGAAATAACTGTACAATATAGGAAATATAAGGTTGTAGGCAGTAGGGGAAGAAGCCCCATTTATGACTATAATCATACATGGGAGTAGAGAGAAAGGAAAAGGGTGGCATGCCAACCCAGAAGGGAAATGGAGATAGTTGTGCAGATTTCAGTAACATATAATAAGAAATGTCAGTGCCTACCGAATAACAATGAATATTTGTGAAGAGGAAAAAAGTAGACAGATTGCAGAATTAGGAGAAAATGTGTCACAAAACAGGCCGAATAGCTTTCCCAGGTTACACATATAGTGTGAGAATAGAACAGAAATCAAAAATCAGGCAGTTTAACTCCAAAGACAGTTAATCAATGTGTTGAGGACCACATGGCACAGAGGACTGCAGAGGACGGAAATTATTTAAGCAAGGTCCTAGAAGAGACAGAAAGAGAAGCATTTCGAGCGGAATTACAAAGATCATCTAAGAGGGAATTACAAAAGGATGGTAAAAAGTTTTAGATTGGAAGGACGAAGTTGAAAGAGTGTACAATCTGTTTCAGCATCCTTTCCCTAGACCTAAATCCTTAAGTATAAATGTTCCCTTCCAAGATTCTTTTCTTTTAGCTTTCCACGTGGCTTTAAGGGGGAAGAAGGACCTCTGGATAGACATGATCTTTAAATGAGTGAGATTTCATTTCTGTCCAAAGGTGGTCAATAAAGACACAACACCCTTATCGGAAAGATTCGGGTTGGTGACACTTTCCAAACCTAGGCTCAAATCTCTTATTGTCAGCGGTTCTAACGTTAGCCCAAAGAACTGTGGAAAGTCAAGCTGGACTTCTACCCACTAACACGAGAATGCGTCTAACTTATACCGGGAACGGAGAACCCCCAAATATGTCGATCTCGCGTTTGGATCTTAGCTCTGGCATTGAAAAATATCTGGAAGAGCCCCCTTCAATCTATGAATAGAGTTTATTTCTGGGGGACGTGGTGAGGGGGCATCTTTCACGCTACGGTTTAGAACGTTCGTGAACCAGGTAGTAATGGTGGGAGAACGAGAGTTCGCCCCTGCTGGAAGCAGATGTCCTGCCCTCCCTGCCTGACGGAGTTCCCTAACAGCGGATCATGGACGCTGGTGGGTAACTGCAAATAGTTGGGATCGCTCAGGTTCTACCACAAACAAACGAAAGTGAGGCGACGATCGCCCGTGGTGGCCGAGAGAACGTCCCCCTCCCCCGAAACACACACACACACACACACACACAGATGCATGCGTTTTCTAGTTAACGCGCGATATTGACGTAAGCAGCGAGGGGCCTCGGAGCCCAGCTAATTCAACGTCCTTCCTCCCTTCGGCCTACGTTACGATCCAAAAAAGCCCGATCCCGATTAAAAGTGTCGAGAGGGAAACAAAGTACAACTTTCTTCGGTATTTCTCCCTCACCTAATTCACTTTGGCCCTGGAGAAGTTGGAGCCTGGGAAACTAAACTGGAGTCGGCCCAGATCGAGGTGGAGTGTTTTGGGGGCGGTGAATCCCGCCAGCAAGGAGCAGGGGTTAAGACCGTTACTTACCATTTCTTAGGACGCCAAGCTGGGGCTGGCGGAGCACCGAACTGAAGAGCATCTGGACCTGAAGAACGACTCAGCTGAGGAAAAAGCCGTGAAAATGCCCTCGGGTTCACTCGGAGTCGCAGCTTGCGCCCCTCACACCACCACCCGTTATAGCCTCCAACTCCCGCCACTGTAAGCCCCGGCCGCCAAACTCCGCGCCAAACTGACGTCACGCTCTCTGATTGGCTCCCGCCGCAGCGTCGGGGCGCCTCAGAGTCACTTCCCCCTCCGAATCCCCGCCTCCTTTTCTCCCAGCCGCGGGAACCCAGAGTTCAGGAGCTCCCTGAGCGCCTGCGCGGGGGGCCCGCAGAGGCGCCGGCGAACCGCGGGGTGACCAGGGCGCATGCGTAACACGGCTTGACAGAGCGCGGAGGAAAAATCCGCGAGAAGGCGGCGGGAGAAGATGGCGGTGCTGGGGCAGAGTTTGCAATCTTTCTGACTAGGCTAGTCGAGTAACTATTTGGGTCATGGCGTCAAACTCAACTAAGTCTTTTCTGGCAGATGCTGGATATGGCGAACAGGAATTGGATGCTAACTCTGCTCTTATGGAATTGGACAAAGGTATTCGAAAGAGCGGGCTGCTCGGGGGAAGTGGCGCCACCCTGTGGTGGTAGTTTCCGGAGAGGCAGGGAACGCGCATGCGCAGTGGTTTGCTGGGCGGGGCGCGCTAGTGATTTTGCAGGGGCGAGGATCTATGCTGCTTCGGGAGATTGCGGGACTCGCCTTGCACCATCTAAACAAGTAGGGAACTCTGGTGAAGGGCCTTTTTTGACCACTTGAGGGCGCAGTCCCCCGATTTTCCAAACACTGAAAGTGGCTGGTTTCTAAAAACACTAAATTAAAATTGTGAAATTATTTTTTCGTACGTTTAGTTGAGGCTAGGTCTTCATCGAGAGTGCTGAACAATTTTGCACTGACTTTATAGTGATTTGTTTTCCGTAAATGTAAGCTTTGGATTACAATACGGGTGACATTAGTGCCAAGACCAATTAAAAAGCTTGGCCCTTGCACCTTTCATTACAGACAAGTTCCACGAGTTCACTTTCCTTACAGGGAGGGGCTTGGTGTAGTAGAGGGAGCTTTGGGTTTACTACTGAGCTGAATTCCAATTCTGCTAATTTTGTGATCAGGGACAAGTCACCCAATTTTACCTAGTCTCCGTTTATCATCAGCAAAGCGGGTGCAGTACTACCGAACTGGCAAGAATGATTAAATGAAAAAATGGTATGCAAAAGATGCACTTATTAAATGCTTACAGACGTGCCATCCTTTCTAGATATGGGTATGGAGGCAAGGATGGTAGATACTTATTACTAAAGAATCAAGCATGAATATGAAACCCTTGTTTCAGTGAAGTACATTTTTATTTACTGGTATACACTTAATTCTTAATTACCTATTGCCAGTTTTTAGTGAATTGGACTAGATCTGTCATTAAGTCCACTTATTTTTGTGTGTGTGGTGCTGGGGCTTGAACCCAGAGCCTTGTGCATGCAAGACAAGCACTCTACCAACTGAGCTATATACCCAACTCTATTAAGTTCACTTTGAGCCACATAGTTCTTTGACTTGGGCTTGCCTATTGAATTTTCATGGACTTTTTTGTTTTAACCTGTTAACATTTGTAGAGGATTAGTCTAGGTAGGAGTTTCTCAGACTTTTTAAAAAGCTTTTCACCTCCTTTTGATTACCATAAAAATCTCACAGTACCCCACTGGGATATTCCTTTAGCAGTCACAATGTTTTTACTACATCCCCGTCCATCAAAAGATGTTGAGCTTTTCTTTTCTCACCAAACCTATAGGGTTTTTTCCTCCTGAAATATAAAGTTTTTTTTAAACATGTTTTTAAAATATTAAATCATCTTTTCTTCCCCAAAAGACCTTTTTGTCATTCTGGTCTAGCCAGGATTGTCCATGTAATTAATAGGAGAGTGGTTGTCAAATAGAAATCAGAATGAAGCACTGAAAAAAAGAGAAATTGAGAATTGTTTAATTCCTATAAGTTTGCAGTTGTAATAATAATAATAATAAAAGGTCTTAGTACAACTTTTTCCTAAAGAAAAGTCGAAATAGAAATACTTCATATCTGTGAACCAGCCTAGGTGTCTATCAGCGGATGAATGGATAAAGAAAATGTGGTATTTATATACAATGGAGTTTTATTCATCCATAAAGAAAAATGAAATTATGTCATTTGTAGGCAAATGGATGGAACTTGAGAACATTATATTAAGCAAAATAAGCTACACTTAAAATGCCAAGGGTCACTTTTTTTTCTCTTATACGTAGAAGCTAGAGAGAAAAAAGGAAGAAAATGGTGGAGGGGGGTATCGTGAAAATCAAAGGGAACTCTGTAGAGGGAAAGGGAAAATACTGGGGAATGGTATTGGCCAAATTATTGTGTGTGTGAATGAATATGTAACAACAAATTCTACCATTATGTACAACTATAATACACCAATAAAAATATGGAAAAAAAAGAAATACTTCATATCTGTAAGGTTTAAATGGATGGTTATTGAGTATTGAACTCCAAACCAGGCAGTGCTAGACAAAGAGTAAGTGATCATGTTCAATCCTACCAGCAATGCCCTGGATAAGTATTTCATAGATGAGTTTCAAATTCAGAAAGATAATTTGTATAAGACAAAAAACAAAACTCTTGTTCTTTTTCACATTACTGTACCTTTTAAATTAGATTATAGAAATAACCAGTTTAATCAGAATATTTATAATTTAGTGGTTTAAATACTGAGTCATTTCATCCTTTACCTGTTAAAGAAAGTGTTTCCCCTACCCTTACACACATACCATTGGGCTTCATGCTGGGGATATAGCAGTTAATAAAACAAATCAAAACAAATAAATCCTAACTTCATATAGCTTATGTTCTAGATTGAGGAACATAAGGATATATTATGACAGATAGTAGGACATAATATAAAGGAAAATGAAAAAAGTAAAAGAAAACTAGTATGGGGTTGGAGTTGTTTTCCTATTTTATAAAGGGTAATGAAGAAAGGATTTACTGACCAACTGGAGGAATAAGTGCTAAGGCTATGAGGCAGAAGCCTGCTTTGCATGCTATAGCATAGGAATAGACTGGTGGAAAGAACCAGAGGCTGGTTCGGTTCATGTAAGGCAATGCAAACCATTGAAGACTAGTTTTAATTTTGAGTGAGGAAACTTGAAAATTTTCAGCAGTTGTATGGCATAATCTGACTTAGCTTTGCAAAGGATCCGTATGGCTACGGTGTTGAGAATAAACCAAAGGGAGAGCCATGGACAGAAGTTGGGAGATAGTTGAGGAGGCATTTGTAATAATCCAAGGAAAAGAAAATAGTGACTTGGGTCAGTATGGTCACAGTAAATTGTGTGGAGTGCTGAGATTCTGGATATATTTTGAGGCTCAAGCCAACAAGATTAATTAATGGATTGTGTGAGGATTTAAGAATCAGTAGCCAAGAAGAGGCATTTGATCTGAGCTCTTAGAAGGATGGTTGGCATAGAGAGTAAAAATCATCAGTTTGGATCATGCTAAAATTGAGATGTTGCTTAAAAACATCCAAGTAGAAATATTGATAGGAGTTAGGTATATGACAGGACTCTTGAACTCCATTTTAAAGAAATATTTTGTGGCACTGGTGTACTTAGAAACAAACTTGAGAAATGCTGCTAATGAAGACCTATTATAGGCTGGATGTGGTGGTGCATGCCTGTAATCCCAGCTACTCTGGAGGCAGAGACAAGAATCACAAGTTCCAGGCCAGCCGACCCTGTCTCCAAATAAAAATAAAAGGCCTGGGGATGTTGCTCAGTGATAGAGTGCTTGTACATGCTTGATGTCTCAGTCCCTAGTGCTGCAAAAAGGAAGGAAGGAAGCAAGCAAGCTTGTTGCATATTTATAACCTGTGGCACTTTGTTGTGAGCCTTTTGAGCAAGGATGACAGTAAGCAAGTTGTTTCTGATCTCCATAAGGATGAATGGATGTTATTTTGAAGATGACTCAATTTATTCAAGGTGTAGTGGTAAGACTGGAAAAGAATCATTCATATGATAGTCATTTATTCATTCAAAAAGTATTTACTGTTCACCTGCATTGGTCTGAGCACTACACTTAGACTCAGGGCCATGTTAGTGAACAGGACTGCTTTAAGGAGTTTACATTCAAATGTGAAGAGAGAGAGGGCTACATTAAACATTGCCTCTTTAAATAGGACAAGAAATTGGAATTTGATACCAAGTGCACTGGGAAGATACCGAAAGATAAAAGTGATAGGCATACTTACCAAGCTTCTGTGATTATGATACTTGTATAATCAAATGCGACTTACATTTTTTGACACATTTCATGATATAGAAAATCATACTACACATAAGGAATTATAAAGGATGCATCTCACATATATTAACTAATGTAATTTTTTCCACTAATGTAACTTCTTTAGTCACTCTAAGCATTTTTAGATGGGAAGTTGTCCTGATGATTTTAGAAGATTACACAAGATTGCTTCCACCCTGGGGGAAGAGGAGTCACTTTCTTTCTTTTCTTTTTTTCTTTTTTTGGTACTGGGGATTGAACCAGTGCTAAGGTTAAGTGGTGCTTAACCACTGAGCCACATCCCCAGCCACTACCACCTTTAAAATTTCTTTTTTATTTTGAGACATGGCCCTTGTTAAGTTGCTTAGTGCCTCACTAAGTTGTTGAGGCTGACTTTGAACTTGAGATCCTCCTGGCTCAGCCCCCAGAGCCTCTTGAGATTACAGGTGTGCACCACTGTACCCAGTGAAGAGTCACTGTTAAACGACATCACTCAGACTGGGTGAGGTAAAAGCAATAGGGAGAAGGTAGTGAGTCTCATTCCTTTTCTTGAAGCTGGTGCATAGACAGTGGAGTACTGTGAGGTGCTGGTGAATTTAAAGCTGTATGAAAAGTGTGGTGCTCTGCTTAATGAAAAATTTAATTATGAGACGAGAAATGATATGAATTATGACAACTATCTGTACTCTCTTGATTTCCCCCTTAGATGCCATCACCTCACCCATGTTCCAAAACATCTGAACTCTCAATGTGAAAAAGACCATAGATTGCTGTGATACTGTTCATATTGGCACAGATGT